GGAGGGTATGCGCTTGGGGCAGCTCACTTATCTCCTGTGTGGAAATTTCTAAGAACACAAGACCTTGTGTTGTCTGCCCTGCCTTTGTGTCCTTCCTTCACCAGAGAAAGCAGGCTGGACAGTGCTACACAGGGCACACATGAGGCAGCGGCTGATTTTGAACAAGGTTATTAGTATAGAAATTATTTCTGGAGAAAATGGTAGAAATTGTATTCCTATTGTGCATGGTTACTATTATGGGGTATCCACCAGAGACGCCCACTCTAACACTTAAACCAATCGAAAGTCTTTATTAGCCAACCAGTGTGCTGGGCGTTTAGGATTCATAACACTGAGCCTTTCTCAGGGTGTGCTTTTAAGAACAAAACCATATCCTGGCTTAAAACACCTCTGTAGTAAGAACAGTTAGTAAGAAGGAGAACTGCTAGAGTCAAAAAGCAAGGTTAGTATTAGAGAGCTTCCCAGAACTGTACGGACTTTGACAGATTGGGTCTTTGTTTTCATTTTGGCAGGTGATGCTATCTATGGGCTGATTTTTATAGCCTGAATGATACTCCCATCAAGGAGGCAGTTGTGCTAAGGTCTCAGGGTCTACAAATGTCTGGAACCTATTATAATTACTATACGAATGCCATCTGTATGTTGTATAGAACACACAACTAATGGTAAAAGCAGTTTCACCTAGAGTGATGTCATATAAACAACACACGAACAAAGCTTTCACCAGAATTCAGAAAGAAGACATCTACTCCCTCTTGTACCTTTGCTTTAGCCTGTGAATTATTTTACATACTGTTAGAATTATATGAAACCTAAAATTAATGTTTTTTTTTCTTTTATTCCCAAGCTTATGCCTCTCTTCCTTTTTACAAGCCTATACTTAACAGGCTGGGCATTTTGAAATGTATTCAACAGTAAGGTTTAGCATAATGCTCAACTCTGAAGCTTGCTCATGCTTTCTGAAACCTCAGGACAGTTTAAAATAGAAACATGTACACAGAGTCCCTGCCCATAAGTTTCATATTTTTGGTGTGTGTGTGTGTGTGTGTGTGTGTGTGTGTGTGTGGTAGATTAGCATGGGCGTGTGTGAAAGGGTTCATGTCCACATGTGGGGTCCAAAGGCCAATGTTGGGGTCTTTCTCACTCCTTCTCTATCAGAGTTTTTAAGACAGTGTCTCTTAAGAACCTGGAGCTCACCAACTTGACCAGATTATCTGGGAGCAAGTCGCAGAGATTGTCCTGTCTTGGCTCCACCCTCAGCACTGTGATTACAGGTGCCAAAACTGCAGTCTGCTTTTCCATTTGTGCTGAGGACTGAATTCCGACTCCCAAGCTTGCATGGCAAGCACTTCATCCATCTCTTCAGCCCTCTCTAGTTGTATTTTAGACAACTTGCTCGGTCACTGCCAAAGTTTAGTGACTACTATTGTGGTCATAAACACAGGGGCAATCCTCTCACAACTTGAGTACTGTATTCTTCAAAAATCTTCCCAACTCCAAAACAATGTCTCATTTTTAACAAATTATTCACCTCTGATCTGTTTGCTATAAGAAATAAGCAAGGCTTATTTACTTTGGCTGGAAATTTGACAAGGACATTTTCAAAATCATGCTTCCTGTTTATATTTAAAGTAGAGAAATTACAAGTATTTAAAGAATAATCCTATGGTGATGGAGAGATGGCTCAGCAATTAAGAGCACTGGCTGCTCTTCCAGAGGTCCTGAGTTCAATTCCCAGCAACCACATGGTGGCTTGTAGCCATCTATTGTGGGATCTGATGCTCTCTTCTGTATAAAGGCGTACACGCGGATAGAGCACTCATATACATAAAATAAATAAATAAATAAATCTTTAAAGAAAGGAATAATCTTTATTCTGGGAGATGGTGCAGTGGATAAATTGTTTATCATACAAACACAAAGACCAGAGTTCTGATCTCCAGAACCCATGCAGAAAACCAGGCTTTCGTAGCAGGCACTTGTATAGCCAGAACTTTGAAGGCAAAGAGAGGGGGCCCTCAGAGCAATCAGGCTAGATAGACTAGCTGGACTCATTGAGTCTTGGGTTCCGTAAGACCTTACCAAGTAAATAAAGTACGCAGCAACTGAGGAGTACAACTAATGCCAACATAGGGTCTCTACATCTAAACACACATGTAAGTATGCACACTTGTACACACAGCACAAACATGTGTAAAAAGTCTTCTTGTTGAATTATGTTAGAGGCATTTGATGAACCAGTGAAGAAGATGAAGTTTTCAGGGATGTGGCTCTTTGGTCGTCAGTATAAACCACAGAACTCTCAACAAGAGACTGACCCCTGTCCTACAAGAGTGTCACCGTTTACACGTTAAATATTTCTTCGTTTTGCTATTGAGCAAAACACGGGCTAAAACACTCCCATTACTGAAACACTTGATCGCTAGCACGTACCACCACACATGTCTGGAGGTCGGAGGACAACTTTCAGGAGTCAGCCCACTCTTGGTCTATCATTTGGCTTCTGTTATTGAACGCAGGCGAAACCTGAAGTAATAAAATTGATGGTGTCAAGTATTAGCTAATAAACTTGCCTAGGAAATACTCAGTTACACAAAGTAGAATTGGGTTGAAGGAGAGCTGCCTCCTGTACGAGCGGGAGATGAGTAGTGCACTAACCAGGACTATTAGAAACTGAGGGAAAGAAAATTCTGTAGCAAGCTGAAGTTTAGGATCACTGAGGAAGTTTCTGCCAATGCTTGCCTATCAGGTTCATTTCCAACTAGGCTCTATTCCCATAACAAAAGGAGGCAACCTAGGCTTACAACCAGCCATTAACCTATCCCATATCAAAGAACATGCCTCTGAACATCCTTAAGGGAGTAGCACGGGATCACAACCATCATTAAGTCCTGATCTGCCATGAGGTTCTCTGTGCTCTCAGCAGGAAAAGCCTAATTCTGCCAGGTGGACAAGGACAATACTGTTGTACTTAAATAATTCTGGCTGTATCTTTGCTGTATAAATCTCCCATCTGCCCAAGTGGCCAGACTCTTAGTCTTCTGTTTCTACTGGTCAGTGTAACCTGGGGCCAGGTCCTGAAAGAGACTTGTGGATGACCGCCTATGTGAAACGCATAAGCCTAAAGTGTGTATAAGCTCGCAGCATCTGTTCGATGCTGGCTCCTCTTTGAGCGTTAGCCAGAGCCAGACATACAGCATGATTAAAGACCTTTTCCTTTATTAACTTCTCAGCTATTTCTGTGTGCAGTGATTTCTCCCCAGGAAGGCAAATTAATTCTGTAACACCTTTGCCTACTCAGCCATCTTGACGGTCCAATTATGTCAAAATTCTTTATTCTAAGCCAGCATGAAAAGCAAAGCAGGTCCCAGGGGGACCCCCTTTCCCTCCAGTGTCCTGTCTTTTTATCCTGCCCCATATTTGTGACTCTTACCCACAGCTAGGAGAGACCGGTACAAGAGTAGAGCTGTACTGAGTAAAACAGCAGTATTCCTGGGGCCAACTGCTGGGGTTTTTGCATTGCACAAATGCATTGACTGCTTTTGTCTGACAAAATTATGAAGCGTTCCTGCTTAGTCTTATTTTTCTCTTGGAGTAGTCTGGGTAGACGTGGGTATTTTTAAGTGATTCATGTCTGATGGTGGGAGGGGGAGGGTGTTCCAACCCAGAGCATTGACAGACTCTCCTAGTAACCCTGGTAGAGACCAGAGCCATGACAGGTTTGTAGTAGCTCCTGCCAGGGACAAGGCCTTAGTTTTCAGTTTACTGGAGATGGTTAGAGCTGGGCAAACAGTTGCTGGAGAAAACCACATACTCAGGAGCCACCAATCAAGCCCCCTTGGCCTTCTGCTGGCACAGAAGACCACAGTCTCCTGATAACTAAGGCAGCTTTCCCTACTCCACTGCTGAAAGGTCCCTAACCACTAGGACCTCCCACCAAATAGCCCCCAGACTAATATTTCCTCCACAAATCAGCCACAGAGTAATCCTTCCTCCCTGGAATTCCTTTAACTTCGCTTAAAAAGAGCTTGTGACCTTCTTCAGGGGTCTCCATGTGCCACTTCAATGTTGAAATTAATAAAGAATTTCTTGCTATTGCATACATGGCTGTTGGTTTTTCCTTAGGGGCTTCTCTAGGACCCTAACAACAGGAGAATCTCAGCGTTTGTCTTGAGATCCAGACCGACTTCTGGTATCACTAGCTGCTTGCTCTATGTCCTTTCTCAAAAGCTTCAGCCATATTTATACTATCACTCAGACCTCCACGTTTATGTTGCCTGTGTGTCACACTGCTCCTTCTACAAACACACACACACACACAGACACACACACACACACGTATACACACACACACACACACACACACACACACACACACACACACATACCCCGCTATTAGATTGGATAAGGAAGAACATACAGGGCATATTCTGCCCAGAAAGAACAGTTCAGGATAATCTACTGTCCCTGCTAGGTAGCTGGCCCTTTGAGAGATGAATCCCCCAAGACGACAGCCTATCAAAAAATAATAACAGCTAAGCTTTACCTAACCTTCAGTCAATCGGGATATAGGATAAGCAATTTTGTACTTTGAAACTTTGTGACTGCTTTGTGGGTTTTGTCGTTATAAACCCTTTATAATGATAGACGTGGTCCTTTTCCCTCCATCGGTTGTGTCAGACTACCAGGTAGGGTACCTGTGCTAGCCCGTTATATAATAAATAAAACCTTGCTTTTTCATTCCCAAGTGTGGCTCCGTGGTGATCTTCCAGGGGGCTTTCAGGACTTAGGCACGACAGAATGCATTAGAAACCTCATCGTGTGCAATAACATATAAAAGCTCCCGCTGGCTGGAGGTGTGAGAGCCGCGGAACTCCAAGGCTCCTGTGTGACACCCGCGCACAATTCAAAGAGGAAGCCCAGCGGGCGGACCCAGAAACGGAGGCACGCTGGTGGCTCGGGCTGGCGGGCCCCTCCGAGTCACTTCCGGCGGTGCCAGACATGGCTGCAGGCCGAGACCGCGGGGACTTGGCTGCCCGGCAGCTTGTGTTCCTACTTCCAGGTAAACGCGGGCGGCGCGTGGGACGGGAGCACTCAGGGTGGCGGCTGCGCGAGGCTTTTGCCCGGGCCAGCACCGGCCCGCGAAGTCCTGGCGAGTGCGGGCCGGGCTTCGGTGCCCCACACTTTGCGCAATCCTGGTCACGTGTCACTCCAGGCGGGAGCTCCAAACGCGGGAGCTTAGTGAGAGCGTGCGGGTTCACCGGTGTGTTGTTGCGGATGTAGCCCACCCGGCCTGCGGAGGGCAGCGGTGTTTCCAAGCTGTTGTCCCAAGTGTGATGTTAAGTTGGGGAAGCTGCGTAGGTTAAGCTGAGCTTGGTTTAAAGCAGTTCCGAGGCACAGTGGCAGTCGAAACCCCAGAACCAGGCCCTTCGATATCCCATGGGGATCAGCCATCAGGACAAGTGGGGTCCTGGGACAGTGGACAGTCGGTGCCACATAAGCAGGGACCGAGTAAATGGCAAATGAAATAAATATGAGCTAGGGAATGCAAGCTAGAAACGGTCCGCCATTTTATAGGCACTTTAATTTGATGATACAACATGGGCGGAGAGGAAACTCCCTAGTCACTTTAATTTTGAATTTTAGCTCAGCAAACGCAGAGCATTTTTACAGCAAATATACTTCATCAGGGTACGAATACCCAGTGATGTAGGTGTTTACAATCTTGGCATAACAACCAGACCCGTACATCTTTTGCGTACATAGCTCCTCTTCTTTGTAAGGGGTTAAACACGGTTAAATGTATGGATTGTGAGTATGCAACTCACCCAGCTGAACGCGGTATGCTGCCGATCAGCTGACAGCTCATACCGCTTGTAGAGAACCCCAGGTGTTCTGTTAATCGGGTTAGTTGTGCCTGTTTGGACTCCTGTCTTCCTTCCCTCTGTATGACTTCTGCCAGATCCATCCTTGTTTGTTCCGTGGGTTTTGTTGGTTGGTGTTTGTTTGTTTGTAATTGCTGCTTCTAGTTCCTTGTATGTGTATCAGTACTACCCTATTGAGGATGGATGACATTTGGGTGTTTCGGATTTGCAACTCTTAGGAATTACATTTTTGAGGCTGTCGATGGACATAGACATTCATGTCTTTAGAGTGTCTCTGCCCTGGAGTGGTATAGCTCTTCTTAGGTGCTTGTGGGTTTAGCCTTAGTACTGCAAAACGGTTTTCTGAAGTGCTCGTTACTGATTCTTGCTGACTCCAGCAGCCCATGAAGCGCTCCAGTTAAGCCATACCTCATTACAAGTGTTTGGATGGTAAAGCAGCTAGTAAGCAATCGTGGTTTTGGTGGTCCATCAGAGGGCGAGCGGGGTCCCTTATTTTAATTGGGGGAAGGAGAGCCTCCTTTCACACTACGGTTACATCAATATAATTCGATTTTCAGGGTAGGGGCCTCATTCTTTTGCAATCAAGTATGTTGATACTATGTAGATGCACACAAGTAGCTGGTCATAATTTGAGTTTTTTGTTTTGTTGGCTGTTCGTTGGTATTGACTTCATTCTTAAAGTGTGTCATAATCATATCAAACACAGAAATGAAGAGAGTCAAGTATTGATTGAATGCATCCCTCAACATGGAAGGTGTACTAAATCTATGGGGTGGTGGTGAGGAGCATTACAGCCTGGCGTCTGTTGAAAGCTGAGGTGCCCTCTCACCTTTTCAGCATTAGACTGATAGTAATGTGGTCAGTGGCAGGGGTTGGGGGTTCTGAAACTGTTCAAACTTGAACTTCCTGTTTTTAATGCCACCTGCAGGCTCTAAGGGTGCTATGCCTTTGTATCTTACAAAAGTTCGTATTAAGAGGTACTGCATTGCTCCCAAAGCAAACAACTTTGTATGTCACTTAGGCTGGTAGCACAGGTGGTGGCCTGTTCTTCTGGAGGCTAAAGAACAGGTAGATTTTAGGGAATCCCAGGCCTGCCATCCTGGAGTTAATGTACTGTAGCTTTTTAGCTGGGATGTCATGATGACCACAAATGGTGTCTAAATACAAAACAAAACAAGAATTGAAACATTGTAAGAATTCACAGTTTAGGACTGTATTCTCATTAAAAAAGATTTTTAAAAAATCAGATATAGAAGGGAGAGGTAATTTTCCTCTTTAATGATGGAAGGACTTTATATTAACACTATTTCTGATTAATGGCCTTGTAAAACCAAATAAATATTTATTTATTATGTATCATACATAAATATTTATTTATTTATTATGTATACAATATTCTGTCTGTGTGTATGCTTGCAGGTCAGAAGAGGGCACTAGATCTCATTACAGGTGGTTGTGAGGCACCATGTGGTTGCTGGGAATTGAACTCAGGACCTTTGGAAGAGCAGGCAATGCTCTTACCCTCTGAGCTATCTCTCCAGCCCCCAAGAAACATATCTTTATTGGAGTTTGGGGGCAAGAAAAAAAGCAAAGTGTGAAATACAAGGTAAAAGAAGGGCTGCTTTAGACTCTGTCAATGGTCCTAGGAAACAGCTGACCTTTTCCTCTTACCTAAGGGTTAACCTCAGGAGAAAAGTGGAAGTGGGCTCTTCCCCCTTTGTGTGCATGCAGGCTTGTGTTTAAAAACAAGCCGTGTGTGTTGAAAGTTGCCCTTCCCTTGGCAGGTGGTGCAGAGCCTGGCCCATCCAAGTGTGGCCTTGAGACAGCCTCTGAATAATTCAGCAGGACTTGCCGGAGGAAGGCTCCCCATTCCCTGCAGGCAGTTTCTGGGTTGTCCAGCAAGGAGTGTGGTTAATATTTTCCACACAAATCTGGCTTTGTCTTTATACAGCGTTTATTGGTGGGGCCCTGCTGACCTTTCTCAGATGTCTGCTGGATTTGCTCCCGGCTGTTGAGCACGTTCTGAGGTGATGGATGGAATCGCTCAGTTGCCAGTTGGTAATCTGTTGCTGTAATCTTGTCCTCTTAGTGATCGTTCCAAAAGATGTGGAGCAAGTAACAACTTATGGCTCCTATAGCTTTATCCCTCAGGGCAGAATAAAAAGTCATAGAAGAAAGTAAATTTTAAAACTTGACTAGCATCCTAGGAACGGCAAAGGTTTGCCACACCATAGAGAGTTACCTGGAAAGTTAGGCAACAGCTCAGTCAGTGCTGAAGCCTGGCTGTAATGAAAGACACCTGGACCCTGCTTTATCAGTTCTGTGTCCTTGGACAAATGGCTGCCTCACCGCAGAGTCTCTGTTCCTCATTTCTGCAGTGGGAGAGCAGAGCCTGTCTTGTGGGCTAGTTAGTAGTGTGCTAGTGTTATGTCCATTCTCTGTCCCCTTTCAGGAGGACCAGGGCCAGAGTGGGTTTTTATGACTCCCAAAATATCTCCTTTCATTTCTTCCTGCAATGTTTTCCCTAACACCGTCTTTGCTCTTGTGCCAGATTCTGCTCTGGCTTCAAGGCGTGACTTTAGTTCCCACAAAGCCAAGTTATTTGCTCCAAACCAGCTTCTCTTTCTTTGACTGTTGGTGGCGTTTTATGTGCCTGCAATCCTGTCTCCACTTTCTCCGCTTGGAAAATTCCTGAAACCCAACGTCAAGGCCACCTCTACACGGAAGCCTTCTTACCGGGCTCCTCCTATGAGTGGGACCTCTTCTACCAGTGACATATGTGATTATCATTTTTGTATAAATAAGTTTGTATTAAATTCCTACTCAAGTTAGGAGCTGAGGGGAATCCAGGTGTGTTCTTCCTCAGTAGCCATTAGCTTGTCAGCAGTGATGATGGCTGCAGCTTCGGAGGGTATCTCTGAGAGTCTGAAGCATGGTACTTTAAGCTTCCTTTGTGAATCCTTTCTTGTGCTGAAGTCAAAAGTGGAAGGACCTGTGAAGTCACAACTGCATGCTCCCCCCCCCCCAAGTTTTTGGGTGGCGCTTGAGGTCTCTCCTGCTTGAGCAGACACTCATGAAGGCCTTGGTTTGCTAAGACTCTATAGGATTGCCCACTTAATTGTTTTCATTTTATTTTTTGGTGGGGAAGTCATAGAGACAAAGTCACACATTGTAGCCAAGATGACCTGGAGCTCACAGCAATTCTTGTGTCTTCCTTTCCCTAGTGCCCTACCATGCCTGGCTGCTTCATTACTTTCAAACTTTAGTTTGTTGGTTTTTTTTGCTCTTTAGTCTCAGCTTTTTATCCATTACCTTTCAGTTATAATTTTTCACTGATTTTATTCTTCTTCTCCTTTTTTTTTTTTTTTTTGAGACAAGGTTTCTCTGTAGCTTGGGAGCCTGTCCTGGAACTTGCTCTTGTAGACCAGGTTGGCCTTGAACTCACAGTGATCCCCCTGCTTCTGCCTCCTGAGTGCTGGGATTAAAGGCGTGCACCACCACCATCTGGCTTTTCCAATCCTTTCTTATTGTGTGTATCACAAAATGAATTCCACTGCTTTCTTTTTCCATTTGTCTTTATTTTCTTTTTTACATTTTTCTTCTTCTTCACAGTAGCAGGAAGACTCAGAAGTGCTGGGATTGTGGGAGAGCTCACTGTGCACGGAACTGAGAATGGCAGCCCTGCTGCTTTCCCGAGGAGCTGGGAGCTGACTGGGGCGTTTGCTCTTCATTTGTTAGTACTGTGAGATGAACAAAGCTGGCAAGGACGTTTACAGCATATATACTTTGGTGATGGGGGGGGAGGTGTTTGTGTTCTAACAAACTGCTATTTCACACAGAAGACGGCAGTACATGTTTGGGGTGGATTATCTCTAAACTGGATAGATTGAAAAACAAAGCAAGAAAGGTGAAAGTTCACAGAGCTAACTACAGTGGGCAGGATGAGCAAGCTGGGATGTTTTGAGAGCCACCAAAACGTGTTGAATTTTTTAGGTCAGCCTCTTACACACTTTCCTCAGTGCTCTTGGCATGAACAGGATCCTTTTTGAATGGTCCAAGGCTACCTTGTATGGAAACCTCTGCTCTCCACTGTGGCTGCAGAGCCTCTGGGGTTGTGGGTTGCAGAGCTTGATATCAACTTCTCTCGGGACCCCTGGGCAGCGTCCTGTTTTCGTAGGTGGGGCCAACTGTGTTGTAGAAGGGCAGCTGAGGGGAGCACATGAGGACTAGGGTGTTGTAGCAATGGGTAACCTTGGTTTTCTGTCTCTCTGAGCATCAGTAACTTCCTCTTAAACAAACTCCGCCCCCAGTCAGAAACAGACTGCTTCCTAAAGTGGAGCGGCACGGGAATGCCATCTTGTCTCTTTCTAAGACACACTGCTGGTCACCTCCAGAGGGTCCCTGCGATCTAATCTCCCACACACATAGCAGCAGCTAGGAGGTGGCTCCCCTGTGGTACACAGTGGGAGAGGTAGACTTAAGGGTGTGGGGGCTCTCCTAGAAGGAAGTGTGTTGTGCAGATAGCATGAGAAGCAGCCACCCCAACTGGACCTGATACCCCCAGGTCCAACTTTGGAGTGGCTGTTAGGGGTGGTCTTCTTAGTCTGTGCAAGGGTATCAGGGATTATTTGTATGGAGAATAGGATTGTGGCAGTAAATTAGAGTTGTCCCCTAGGACGGGTGGGAGAGGGTTAGTTCCGGAAGCTCTATAGATGCCAGACTCCAACAATACTCTAGTCCTTTATGTATCTGCATACATAATCGACCCATATATTTTAAATTATCTGTTGATTATTTGTGGCACACAATGAAGTGTTACAAAGGTATGTAACTTCATTTTAGATTGTACTGTTTAGGGAACAGTGACAAGGAAAAAAACCCGCACACTCAGTACAACTGTTGTTTTTCCTACCTGAACCTTTCTTAATCTGTGAAGAATGTGCGGACCTGAAGAGCTAATTTTATTCACCTTTATCTTCTCAAGGATTACATCATTTAAGAAAATCTTTTGTCTTTGGGTCTTCTAGCCCTTATACCTTACAGCACACCTTTACATATGTTACTGTATTTGATCTTCAGAGTGACCTGGGGCAGCAGCTAAAGCCTTTTCATCACTACCTTACATATCGGGGAACCAAGACTCTGTCCAACAAATAGGAGGGTTTTGGTGTCATAGACTGTCACCTTCATAAAGCTCTTCTCCAGAACCTATGCTTTGCCCCAAGGTTATCCTTCTGCCTACGTGGTGACAATGCAGCATCATTAAGAGAAGCCAGAGGACCAGCTGTGACTGTCTGCTCTGTTTGATGACCAGAGCACATCTCTGCTGGAGCCAGCCCCTCTTGGCATCAGGTACCTTAGTCAGATCTGCCCCATGTCCCCTTCCAGAACTGTCCTGTTTCCCAGATAGTGCAAGCTTCTGCTGTAGATGTTGCTGTCTTTATCTACATAAAGTCTCTGTGCCAACTGTGAACCTTTAGCCGAAAACTTTTCTGTGTCCCGCCCAGTCCCACAGCCACTTATAAAATAATCACGGGGGCTTAATATTAACTATAATTGTTTGGCTGATGGCTCGGGGCTTATTGCTAACTAGCTCTTACATATAAATTAGTCCCTTTCTATTAATCTGTATCGCTACGTGGCTCGTGCCTTACTGGTAATACTATGACATCTTAACTCCTAGTGGCTGCTGGCGTCTCTCTCTCCGTCCCACCTTCTTTCTCCCTGTATTCACTTTGGCTTCCCAGCCTAGGTATATTCTGCCCTGCCATGAGCCAAAGCAGTTTTATTCATCAACCAGTAAAAGCAGCACAAATTCACAGCGTACAGAAGGACATCCAATATAATATCATGGACCTGACTTTTTTTCCCCCAACATCTTCTCTCCTGACAGGCCATTCCTAGAAACATGGCTGTTGTAGGGATAATCCTGAAAAAATCACAGCCTTTATTTGCCATGATCTTGGTGGAGGGTAGATTTATTTTTGTCTCCACAGCTTCACAGGAAAGTTATATTCAGGTAAACCCATCATGGGATGCATTTTCCTGGTGTGTACCCTTTTTCCCTTTGATTAGCTTGTGAAGAGACAAGAGCTTCAAAGCCAGGAACATGAGCTAGGTCTTGCTTGATGGAAGTGCTGACACCTTGGGAAGGGAAGGCATGTAGTTATTTTTGAAGTTAGCATCTTGAAAGCTGCAAGGAACTTGAACACCATGCTGGTTTGTCTTGCATGTCCTATATTCCGGAGTCTTGGGGTCTGCGCTGATACCTGCCAGGTGCCTGTCAGGTGTCTCAGATAACCTGGAGCTTCTGTAGATGAGAATGTAATTCCTAATAGATAAGTTTATGTACCATCTATGCATCTTCAGGCACTGTTCTGCCTGATCCTGTTGGGAAGTGTTCCATATGAAGTATACTTCTAGAGTATCAAGACTTGCTTTTGCCTTTTTTTAGTGAGCTTTTTCTAAAGCTGAAGGATGCACGTTGGATTTTTTGAGAATGTTTTGTGTGCAAGAAACTCTACCAAGTACTTTACACTGTCTTCTGTTTACACAGATCACCAAGACAACAGGCTCTGACGGAACCTTTTCTAGGAAGGCTGTTTGTAAGACCTTTTAACGCTCTGAAAGTTGTGACTCTTAATTATATTTTGATTTTTTTTTTAATTTCTTGTGTATCCCTGACTTTATCAGGAATTGATGGAAGTAAACTAATTAGAAACTAAGTAATTATTTTGTGCTCTGGGCTCTTCCACATGCATGTCAGCCTTCAAGAAGCCTCTAAATGAGTTCTCATGCCCATTTTATAGTTGAACAACATAGGCAAGGCAGGTTCACTATCTTGCCTAAGGTCACACTACTTGGTAGTGGGAGGACCTAAGACTGTCAATGAACCTTGGTGAGTCCAGGTACCATGAACCTGTGCTGACATCATTGAAGAAATAGTTGGAACCTTCCAAAAGTTCCTTTTCTCATCATTTCCTGCTACACTAAAAACTTTACTATAAACATGTACTTTTATTATTTCTTAATTAGTTTACATGTTTTTCACCCCTTCTAGATACAAATAAAAAAGAAGTTTAAGGGGAAACAGGATCTTCCAGGTCTCATAGGCAAAGAACCAGCCCACCAGATGATCCAGGGTTTTCCAGCTTTCAGCAGAAACTCTTTAAGTGTGGTAGAGCCTTTAGTCTGCAGGCAGGAGTTGTTTTCTCTGTGGACTACTACATGAGACTAAGGGACACAAAATCACAACAGCAGTACAATTCTTTCATGCCTGGTCTCCAGGTGCAGCGAGAGCCAGCCTCCTGGAAGCCATGAAGTCTCCAGGGGAGACAGCAGAGGCCGCTTCTGGCTCTTCCAGCTGAGTGTTCCTGAAAGCTGGAGCTGTTCCCATCTCCCTTCCCGCCCCCGTCAGCAGCCTTGATGAAGGGACAGACCAGACTTGATTTGAAGCCAAAAAAGAAAAAAAACCAATCCAACTCCGAGAGCATTGTCCCCAGTTGACCTGTCTTTGGCTTCCTGGAAAAGTCTCCCTTTCAGGGTGCTGTTACCTGACACGACTTGGTGCTCAGAGCTTGTTCTCTGGGACAAGTCCTGTTCCTTAGGGTATTTTTCTGTGAGGGCTATACCAGTCTGGTAAACAGTAGCCTGCCCAAACCTTAAAGGGAACGTATGAGAACTAGGTGTCCATGTGCTGCTCTGGGAACTCTGGTTTGTTCGTAGGGAACAAGAAGGCTATGCACACATTGAAGTCTGTGCAGGGAAAAGCTGGGAGTCGTCTCTGGCTGACTAATGGCCTGGGAAAGCCATAAATAAAAGTGAAGGCAGTAATTTGAATGTCTGAGTGTTGAAGTTTGCCATGACACGTGCAGAGCCCCTCAACAAAGACTTGACTGAGTGCGATCCCTAAGGTGTCTGAATAGATACATTGTAGCTGGGTCTAGAGAATACAGACTCACAGTTAGCCCAGGAAAGCCACTGGCCTGACTGAAAACCAGCAACAATTCCTAGGAGTTAGGGAAGGGCAAGTAACTTTCAGAATTGCCACATTTACTGTATTTTATCTAACATGTATTTAAAAGTACAAGGTGTGAACTAACAGGAAAGTATGGCGGGAATGTGAGGAAGCTAGGTGGTGCGACTGCCCTAGAGGAGGCTGAGGTGTTGAGTTTATTCTGCAAAGGCTTTAGTCAGAGCTTAGGAATTTATTCTAAGAACTAACACAGACTGTCTGCATAGTGACGGCATAACTGTGAAATCTCATCAGATAGAACAGAATTTTAAAGAACACACAGACATCACTATTATAAGGGATCAGACAGTCAAGAGAATCTCCCAGCTCCTCCAAACAAGACCTAAGCAGCACTGTAAATCAGTCTGACCTAACAGGTCATCAGCATTTAAAAATGATTGGGAATATACCAAATGCATTGTACAAAAACAGTGAAGTGAGTGTGGGAGACAGTTACAGAAGGGAATTTGAGTGATTCACAAATGCGTAGAAATTAAACAGCAGCCCTAATAACCAATGAACCACAGAAGAAAAATGAGGGAAGCTTAAAAAATACTTTTGAGAGGCAAGAAAATAAAGCACAGAGACCTATGGCAGCCTGTGGCAGTGCTGCGGCAGTGACGCGCATGGAGAGATTAATAAACTAGAAAGGCCAGGGACCTGCAGCCTCACCTTCCACCATCACCTAGAGCACACACCCCATCGCGGAGCAGAAAGTAAACACGAAAGAAACACGGTCAGACCCGAGAGGGTCAGCGAAGCCAAACAATCAGTACATCTTTAGCCAGGCTGACCAAGGGAAAGGACCCTAAATTCCTAAAGTCAGGCGTGAAAGAGGGAACAGTGCTGCCGACCTTATAGGTATTGTGGATAATGTGGGCACATTCCTGGATAGAAAAGTTACAAAGTTGGCTCAGAAAAGATCTTAGCAGACACAATAAAGAGGTTAAATTCATAGTCTTTTCCCAGGAAAAGCCCAGCTTCCAGTTGCTTAACTGGAGAGTTCTGAAAGACATTGAAAAATAAGATTGCTCCTGCATAGACTTTTCAAAAAGTGGGGAAAGAAGGCATAATTCACAACTCAGTCTGGGGGTTAGTGTTGCCCTGAAAAAGCAGTCAAAGGCTTTGCAGAAGTTAGCTTATAGTTTATGCACATAAATACAGAAATCTTAAACAAACAAACAAGAAAGGATTATGTACGAGCAAGTGGGTTTTATTCTGAAACAAAAGACTTGAGTCAGACTGTGAAATACACTGTACTGAGAGAATGAAAACCAAATACAGAATCAGCCACAGGAAGAGAGGTTGAGAAACTCAGAACACCCTTTCATGGTCAGCGTCCTTAGCAGCTTAAGAACGGAACTGTTTCCATCTGATAAAAACCCCACAGACAGCATTGTGGCAGCATATTTCATGTGAAATTTTTGTCTGTGTGTGGTGGAATGAAAGTATTTTGAGTAAATTAGAGTAAATGTATATCATTAAAATTTATTTTACCTATGCTTAGGGTGGCTTCTAGGAAAATTTAAATTGCATATGGACTTGAATTTATGTAATATCCGTCATTTCCTTTGGATAAAGCAGTTCTATACCAGGGCTGCCAGGTTGCAGCAGGTGGGGTTCTTCACCTTGTCCTGTGGGGACTAGATGATAAAGAGGTGACGGTCCAGAGGGATTGATGGACAGGAATAGGGAAACAGACAAGAGAATAAGTTTCTGTGGGGGTGGGTTTTTATTTGTATGATAGTCCCAGCCTGAAACAGCACACGACACAGTAAAAACTGACTAGAACAAGACCAGCTGATGGTGAAGGTGGCGCAGGACTGGGTTACTGTTTTCATCCAGCTGTGCCTGCATGAAACCTGCCTATGAAAAGGCAGTCAGGGAAGATCAACTTGGCGGTTGGTACTGTCCCGTCAGGGTATTTCAGGATGCTAAAGAGAGCCAAGGAGGCTGAATCCTGGTGGCATTTGTCACTGTGAATTTGTTGTTGTCAGGGTTTTTGATAGGCAAAAAAAAAGTTGCCTATTTTTTCATATTTAGAGGAAATATATCTTTGAAACTTCTGCAGTATATAAAAATGTTTCAGTTTATATCCACATCTGTCTAAGTTCTAGGGAGCACAGCAGTTAGCTTTTCTACAGATCTCTTGTGTCTTGTTTTCTGACTGCTGTGAAGAAGCTCTTGTGGAGATGTAACCCCACCTGTTATCTTGGCCCTGTTGTCTGTACTTCTGCAATTACATCCCAGAAAAGTCTTTGATCAGATCAAAGCACAGGGGTTTTCTTCTAGCAGTTTTTGAACATTTTAATCCCGTTTCAGTTAGTTTCTTGTTGATCCAGTCCAGCAGCAAGTGGTTTTGTGAGGAAATAAGATTTTCCACACCAATGGGACATCTTCATTCTGTCTGCCTTTGTATGCTTCAGAGAATATTGGCATTTCAGCAGGGCACACTGGTTATTTACCTGTTTGTGCTGTGTAACCGCAGACATCCTTACAGAATAGCGTTTTAGGCTGTTGACAACCTTCTCCCTGACTGCTCTTTGTAGGAAAGACAAAAAGCACTGCGTCTTTTGGAGAGTTTCTCTCTATAAATGTTTTTTGACTTGGCATTTCATATTCTTCATTATTTGGGGCTCTCAAGGAATGGGGAAGCTGGAAAACAAACAGTACAGTTTTCTTGTGATAGGAGGAAGTGGTCAAAATAATTCATCAAGTCCACGTTGAAAGATCTGCCGTTGTGGTGAGGTATGAGGAAGTGCTGTGGGGGAGGCTGTCAGGTGCCCTGTGTCCTGAGACACAGGGAGATGAGTAGTTCTTGCTAGGGGTGGGGACACACAAGTGGGGGGAAAATTCTAACGGGATCGAACTTTCTAATTTACACTTCAGTCTAGATGTGTCATTCCAGAAAGAGTCTGAATGGGTTCTGACAGTTGAACCTGCACTGTTCTATTTATGTAACATTCTTAAAGATTCGTGGAGCTGGGGGACAGATGAGGAGCTGTCAGGGTCAGGAGTCAAAAAAGTGCTGTCTGTGTGTGCTTTGCGTGTTCTGCAGCTTGTGTTTGGTGAGGAAGCATTTAGGTGCATCATGCCTTCTTGTCGTTATAAAGTGACCTTTTAAAATCCCTTGGTAAAGTCTGTTAGCATCTGCTTCTCTTTCCTTCCATTCTGCTTGTGTCTTTATGTTTATGTGGTTCTTGTGAGAGGCATGTATTTCCCTCTTGCTTTTTAATTCTGTCTGAGTTGCTGCTTGTCGATGGGATGTGCAGACCCTTGACATGTGGATATGGACATTGATGGAGCTGGGGTTGAGCTTGCTGTCCTGATGTTTCCTGTATATTATCTGTGTTCTTTGTGTCTAGTTTGCCCTCTTTTTGGTTAAGTGAACATTTTTCATAATTCAGTTTCATATCCTTTATTGTCTTATGAGTAACAGGTTTTTGTTTTTGTTTTTTAATTTTAGTGACTGCTGTAGAGTTCTTTGTACGTGTATGTAATTGATTCCATCTACCTCCAAGTGCTGTTTGTCACTTCACATATGGCACAAGAAACTCATGAGATGGCATTCTTATATTTCTTCTTTCCTGGACTTAAGCTGTTCTCGTACATTTTCTGTGTACACATGATGTGAACACTACTCTGAATTATTTTAACTTAAGCAGCCAATAATCCTTAAAGAGATTAAAATAATATGAACAGCTCCCCTTTTACCCCCGCGTGTGTTCTGTTCAGGTTCCTGCATCTGGCTCGTGATCTACTGCACAAAGCTCTCCCTTAGCGTTCCTTGTGATGCACGTGTCACCAGTGATTTCTTTCAGCTCTGTGTGCCTCAAGTTTTGTTTTCCTCCCTCCTCTTTTCCAAAGGTCGGTAGCTTCTCTGTGGTCGTGGTGTTTTACTTTATGGATGGTTCTGGATTGTCTTCTGGCTTGCATTGTTTTTACATCTTAGCTGTCTTCATTAGCCTGCTTCTCTGTACATCCTGTGACTGCTCCCACCCTTGGTTTTGAACTCTTGGTTATGTTATTTGTTTTCTTCTTGTTATATGCTTTGGGATCATGGAGCTTCTGGGATTTGTGAGTTTACAGTGTCCCTCAGACCAGGAACATTTCACATGTGCTTTTCAGATATGTTTGTCTTCTCATTTCTCTTCTTTTGAAGGCTTCCATCACACACATAGTAGGAGGTTTGACACTGTCCCATAGATCAGATTTCTTTTTAAAAATTTTCTGTGCTTTCAGAGTGTTTTCTGTTACTGAATGAATCTTCGCGTTCATTTATCTTTTGCCATTGGTTCTGTCTGACATTTTTTTCCTTCTCTAGCATTTCAGTTTAGATCATTAAAGTCTTCTGTCCCTTTAATGTGTTCTCCCTGAGGTTTGCTTCTGTGCCATCTCCTTTACTTTTAATGTTCTATGTATACCAATCTCTCTCGCAACAATTGACCTTTTCTTCACCTCTCATCAATTTACCTTTTGGGGTGATGGACATTTTTATATTCTTAAGTATTTTTGGACTCAGAAATATATTACTTGGCAAGAAGAGTCTGATCCTTTGCCATTGCTTTTTAATTAGTGCGACGAGATCTTAGCAGTGTCGGGTAAATGTACCTGTTGAGTGTTCTGCCTCATGCCCTGAGGTCATAAACACCGGGAGAGATGCGTGTGAGTTTTGTTCTCTTGCTTCTCACGGAGACTCTCTCGTGCATATGGAAGGACAGAGCCATTTCCTGATGGGCCCCACTGCATACACCTGAATCCAATTCTTACCAGGAATTCTTACCACAGTTTTTTACTGTGGTCTCTGTCATTCTTGTCTTTGGAGCTCTCCACTCTATCACATCTGCCCTAATTCAGCCAGGCTTTGCCCAGCTCCTCTGCACCAGGTCCTGGAAACCCTCTCTGTTCTACTTGACTGGTGGTCAGTGTCTTTAGAGCAGCAGCCTCATGCTTTGCATGGTGACTGTTGTTGAATCTCCATACTCTATCTTAATTGAAAGTAGAAATCTTAAAATGAGCTTTTCTTGTTTATGGATTACTATTGCTATTATGGTTACTATTGGATGAAGCAAAAGTGTTCTATTTATGGAACACTAATTTCTCAGTCTGTTTGCAGTATCTGTGTGCATATGGAATTGAGGCAGAATGGACAGAACAAAGAGAGTAAGCTCAGTTCCTCACCAAGATCTCTCTGGATACTGTTGTGTAGATGGGTTGTACCCCTGAACCAGCTTCCTGGGGTGCTCTTGTATAGATGGGCTGTGCCCTTGACTTCCATCCTAGGGTGTTCTTATATAAACTGGTTATGCCTCTTGACTGTCTTCCTGGGGTGCTCTTGTGCAAACAGACTGTGCCCTTGGCTTTCTTCCTGGGGTGCTCTTGTATAGATGGGCTGTGCCCCTTGACTGTCTTCCTGGGGTGCTCTTGTGTAGACAGCCTGTGCCCTTGACTGTCTAGAACTCCTGGTTTTTTTGGAGTCTATGTGAATTTTGACTGCTGATTGGTCTGTTGAAGGTGTCATCTTGGTCTCCATGCTTTAATCTGTGTAAATAAAACTTGACAGTCAGATATTGTAGAGGAAGCACTGCAGAAACTTGCTTTCTACAGATTAAAGTAAATCTGTTATGATTAAGTCTTGAAGTACTGACACTAAAATAGACACAGGTTAGTGGATTAAAGCCGAGTGTCTACAGACAGACCACAAATGCGTTTAAATGTTTAGTGTAAAGATTTTCATGGCAGGCTCACTCCATGAGCTTTGATACAAATGGCCAACCCATTAAAAAAAAATAAAGTTGAATTTTTTTCCCTCCATTTTATACTCAGGGTATTTATATATTCTGAATTGACTGAATATAAAGTATCCACAAAAATATAGGAATATACATACTTTTAAGGAAGAAAACTTGAAGGCTTTATAAAGTATGATACAAAGGATGCAAACATGAAGAAAAATTAAGATTACACAGATTATATCTTTAATGTGGCAAAAAGATAATTAGAAACAAATAGAGCTAAAATACAGTTACTGTCTTTATTGTATATAGGCTACTCATAAAATAATTTAATTTTTAAAAAAGATGAAACCCCCACCAAGAAAATGAGCAAGGGATATGCTTAACTAATGGTGTCAGAAATGAAAGATAGGGGTCTAATAAATATTTATGTCCTTCATAGTAATGGCTATGATTTATTTTGTATTTCTGTTCAGTTACACTAAGTGCCTTTGACTACTTAGTTTAAGTTTAAAAAAATACATGTACTATCATCATTATCTTCTGAAAGGAGATTGAGACGGGAGAGAAGACTGGGCCTAGGTGAGGACGTTTACATCTGACTCTAGAGCCAGACCTTGTCCCTTCCTCTAGAGCCAGACTAAACCTACCTCGAATTCCACCGTGGCTTCCCTGGAAAACAGGTGTTTACTGACTATCACCATAGCTCATAAATGATAAATAACATTTTATAAGAAAAATTGCGTAAGTAGAAAGAAGTAAAATGGAGGAAAGTGAGGGCACAGTAGAGAGACTGTCTTTAAATTTCTCTGATTCACTATTTCTTTTCAGAATATTTAAAAGATGCCTCAGCGAAGATGAAGAGTGGCCTCCTGTTTGTAAAACTGGCCAGCCCACGCTCAGGTGTGTCTCTTCCTCGGGTCCTCTCGTCCTTGAATGTCTCCAGCCCCATGCTCAGTGTGTGGTGTGCTTGCTTGCCCGTGTGTCATTTTGAATTAACTTAAAAGTTCACAGCAAACTGCAGTGGAAAATCAAGCTGATTAATGTTCCAGGATAAATCACACTAAACTTTGCAAAGAGGATCGTTTTTATAGTTTTCATCCACAGAATGTCAAATCATTAGAAATGTTGGTGACATAGAGAAATGGTATGTTTGAGTTCTCTCTGAAAATGGATTGATTTTCTTTGGCTTTCTTATGCCAACTTTTCCTAGCATGCTTACCAACACTGGCCTACATTTATATTCATTTTGTGTTGTACAGTAAAAATAAACAGCCAGAATGAAAACGCGTGATCCGTCTTCAACGTGTCATGACTTAGTTGGTTTCAGTTTTAGCTGTTCTTTCAATCTGACCAAAAAGGCAAAAGGCTAACTCCCCCCCGTTGGTAGATGGTTTTTCTTTTATTAAAATCATTGTATATTGGAGAGCTTTATGTTTTATTGAGAGATAAGTTTACTTTAATTTTATATTTAGCGTATTTTGTGGGGTTTTTTCCTAATTTTGGAGTAAAAGTTTTAAAATACATTCAGCTGAGGTGACGCCGGATTTCCCTTGTATTGAATTGTTAGGCTCTGAGTAAACACATGATGCCTGTATGCCAGGGCTCTCCTGGGGACTGTATCACTGCATAGGGAATAAGGGAAAGCACATGGGTAGCATTTTGTTGAAAAGATGTGTAACTCAGACAATGAGGGAGTAAAACAGAACAAAAACAAACACCCCAACCCCATTCTTTTAGTGTCTTTTCTCCAAGTGAAATTAAATATGTCTTTTGACCTACACCAGAACAGTCAGAGTTGTTGACCCACACCGGAACAGTCAGAGTTGTTGACCCACACCGGAACAGTCAGAGTTACAGACCCACACTGGAACAGTCAGAGTTACAGATCCACACCGGAACAGTCAGAGGACTAAGCTAAGCACTTCCCAGGTCCTGGCTTGTGCTCTGGAAATGTAGGGGTGTTTCCTTTTGTTCAGTCCTCATAAAAACCCTCTAAGGTGGAATCAGTATGGCCATGGACACAGATGAGCAAGCAGATTATGTAGCTTCCCCAGTGTCGCACTCAGCATGTGATTCCAGAGATTTCAGAGATGGCTCTGCGGTTGGAAAAAGATTGGATGAGTCGAGGGGTAAAACATCAGATATGCATCCCTTCTATCCCCATTTCTCCTACCGCTTAGACCCATGTTGCTGAGGACTGACCCTGGACCTGAGTTAGTCAAACCTCAGATACGCACAGTCTTCACCCCTCCTGTCCTTTTGCTGAGGATTGACCACTGGACCTAGCGCATGCTGGACAAGTGCTTTACCACTGACTGAGCTGAGACTCTAACCCCCCTTCCTCCCCCTTTAAAAGAATAAAACAGAAAAGTTCCATCCATTTGACTAAGTCTTGAAGAGAGTTGTTTTCTTTCTCACAGTGGCCAGTACCATCTAAGGGCTTGGTCCTTGTCTTTGCTCCTGCGTAGAGGGAGCTACATGCTGGCGTAGTGACAGACCCAGGCGCTAGCTCACATCTGTCGGAACCATTAGGATCTGGTAGCTAGGAGGCTGTATAATAGTCGAGGTAAATGACTTGTGCCTTTCACTTTTGCAGTTTAAGTTCAGCGAGGATTATGGAGCTGGAAACTGAATGTCTGTGCCTAATACCTATGAACTTTCCTTGGAGTCTGCGAGTATAGAGCATGACTCCATATGTTTAGGTTCCTCTTAGGAGCATGCCTTAGAACGCTGGACAGACTTCTGTATACACATGTGTGTGAATAGTGACAGTACTGAGCACATCTGTGTTACAGGGGAAGGAGCCGTTTACTTACTGGATATGTGTCTACATCAGCTGTTTGAAATCAAAGTTTTCAAGGAAAAACACCGTTCTTGGTTTATAAATCAGTCAGTTCAATCAGGTAAGTGACAGGTATATATATGTATTTTTTTTCCCCTACCGTTAACACATCTTATGTGTATGTATGGGTTCATCCTGCTGGTTTGGTATGTGTAAGTAAGGAGCCTTTCTGTGCATCAGAAAGGGTTTGGAGCAAGTGAGACTGTCTTGTCACATGTTAAATTACAGTTCTGGTTTCTGTCCTGAAACACCAGCACACCCTGCGGTAGGAGTTAGGTGCCCTGTGCCATGGAGTGGGGGTTGAGTTGATTGGAATTATTTCCTTTAGAGAAATTTTTAACGTATTATTTCCTTGAGCAAACTGATACAGTTTCTAAAGCAAACTAGAAGGTAACGACTTTTAAAGAAGTGGTTTCTCATGTAACCTACTGTGCGCTTTTTAGCCAGTTTTCCTGTCCCTGTCCTGTGATAAGCGCACACTCTAGGCTGTCAGCCCAGCAGGAGAGAAGATGTGCTGTGGTTCTCAGTTCGGAGGTTTTAGTCCTTGGTCCCTTGACCTGGTTGGTTTTGAGGTGGCACATCATGATGGCACCATGTGGCCAAACCACTCACTTCCTGGCCAAGAACCAAAGAGAGAGAGAGCAAGAGGAAAAGGCCCCATGGTCCCACCCCCTCCAGGGAATCTGATGTCCTGTTGGGCCACCATGGGCATCGGTATCCAGGTACACATAAACACACGCACACATAAAGATTTTTTTTTTAATTCAGTGTAGTTTGTGTAACTCAGGAAGTAAAAAGTACACTGTCTCCTTCAATTGTAGCTGTGCCTAATACTTAGGGAGTCCATGAGAGCTCCAGCTCCTGGTGTGGCACACTCTCAGCTGGTATTGGCCGATAGCTGCAGAACATCGGGTGGAGACTGGAAAACGTAGGGAAGCAATGATTGAGCCTGGACAGTCTGGCTCATCGATCACTGTTTCTCATAGACTTTTAAAGAACAGTTTTGTTTTGTTCTAAAGGCAGTCAGACACGCGGAATCTAACTCCAGGAGATGGGAGCGTTTAAACCAAGGTCTGATGGAAAGCACAAGTTGTTGCATGTGCTGCCAAATGGGCAGAAATGAGTGTGGGCTTTCACATACAGCTCGCCCTGAGAGACAAATAACCATGGCTCTTGTAAAGCATGTCCCTCTCTTGGTTCTTTTTCATCTGCAGGGGGGCTTCTCCACTTTGCAACACCCATGGATCCTCTGTTTCTGCTCCTTCACTACCTCATAAAGGCTGGCAAAGAGGTGAGCTTCCCACTTGTGGTAACTGCAGGGAGGGGCAGAATACACTGCTTCTCCTTTTCACAATGTGCTTCAGTCATTACAGTATGGGCCCCATGTGTACCAGTGTGGGTCAGAGCACCCTGACCTCCCCCAGGAAGCAGCACCTTAATGGTGATCAGGTTTGCTACTAGGTAGCTGTGACCTTAATGGCCTATCTTGCCACTCTTGTGTACCTCGGTGGTAGCAATGCCTAGCAATGGAAACTTCCCACTGAGTGCTTAGATGGGAATGTTAAGAATTTGGCCAGGAGATTTACCTTCTTATGTGAGTGTCTGAGAATCAGGTAAACTTAAGTGTGCCTAAGCCTAGTAAACACCAATGGGGAAGCTCTGTATGGTTGGGGTTTGAGTATCCAGAGCAAAAGCACTAATGTCTCTCAGTACTCTGTCTCTTGGGCTTTCCTCGATGAGGTCTGTGCCTCGAGCTACAGCAGTAGAAACTGGATAAGCACACTTCCCTCACACAGAGTGGTAATGACTTTGCATTCAGGATCAAGATTTAAGGAAAATTCATTGCTTTTACTGCTTAAGCAATGATATTACTGTCTTTTTGTTTGTTTCATTGGTTTTTTGTTTTTGTTGTTGCTTATTTTAAATAGATTTCTTTTATGTGTTTGTGTGAGTGGCTGCACATATGGACAGTGTGTATGCCCGGTACTCATGGAGGCAGAAGAGAGCATCACAGTTCTGGGAGGTGAAGCCACAGGCAACTGTGAGCTGCCACATAGGTGCTAGGAACTGAACCTGGGTTCTCTGAAAAGTCAGCAAATGTTCTTGACCTCTGAGCCATCTCTCTAGCCCCACTGAGCAAGAATATCTTAAGTGAAACTGGCATTTTAAAAACTAAGAATACAGTGTATTTTGGTGGCGGTGCCTTAACTCCAGCTAAGGGGCCTAGATTTGTTCAGCATCGTTTCAATTACCAACGTCATGTCAACCTGATATAAATGCAAGCAGCCTTTTAGAATCATTATGAATACAGGTTTGAGCTTGGGGACCTCTTAAAGGGGAATTAGGGACCCTTAAGGGTCCATCAATCAGTTTCAAAATCCTTGAGCTCACTTTAGTGAGTTATTTGAAATGCTTAAGGCAGTCTCTGTTTCTCAGACTCTTATTTGCACATAGAGTAAATGATTATGGCTCATTTTATTTGGTCTTCAAACCAAATTTTCAAAACTTTATTTTGTAGGTTGATCGATTTTAGGATGTTGTAAATTGTAAAACTCACCCAAAACTTTATTCCTATTTTTCTTGGTACTTGCTTCTCTCCTTTTACAGTATATTAGTGGAGTTCTGCCCCTCAGTTGACTCACTTTGCTCTTTTCTGAAAGCTGCCATGATAACCAATATATTGGGGTACACAGCAGTAAGGCTATTGGGACTCACGTCTCTAAGTCGTAGAGATGGTTCTGGTTATTGCCAGGAAGCTACAGGAGGATTTGGGGGTGGATTTGAGAACTTGAGTTGGTTCACAAGTGTGTTTTCTAAGGTAAATTAACAGGGAGAAAGGCACTCACAGCTTCAGTTCCCAGCACTGCTTCCCCATCTCCTGTTAAGAGCAAGAAGCCTGGCCTTCTGCTGTGTAGTAGACTCAAGGTGACAGATGCAGAACGAAGCAGAGTGATGCTCACCAGAGCCACTGTCCTTTCTCTTAAATCCTGGAAGTATAAGCACATGGGTGTCTAGTGTTTCTTCCCTAGTTTAGATGGGGCCATATCTATTTAGTTATTAACATATTGACCCCATTTTTGAATTTGACCTGTTCTTTTAAAATCACAGCCTTTAACACTAAGTCTTACTAACCTTATTTAGAACAGATTTTTATTTTACTTTTTTAAGTACATGTGGCATAGAAAATAAGAATGCAATAGCAATAATAAAACTTCCATCCTGGCTGTGGCTTCATGCTTGTCAGTACTATTTAAAGCAACTAAGTATAAAAATGCTGGTTGATCCTGGAAGGCAAACATTTAAAGTAGAAGCCCAAAGACTATAACCCTGGGGAGCCTAGGTCAGATGGAAGAACATTTCACTCTGGCATTTCTTTGCCTCTTTTAGCCTAATGGAAAAATAGAACAAGTTATCATGTGTATTGTGAAAGAAACAAGAGGATTCACCATGAAAACCAGAGAAAATGGATCAGTCACACGTCTGTCTTTACAAGTTTGGTCACAGAAACAGAGAAGCAGAGGTGGGACCTGGAGAGACAGGGCAACCATTCCTAAGCCTGGCTCCCCAATCAGGAGAATGTCTTCATCAGATATGCATGCTTTTCCTTGCCATTAGAAAGTTAGGAGAAACGACCTCTTCAAACGTCGGCGTGGCTTGCTCCTGACAGCTGTGTCAGCTTGACTGTCTGGGCATGCCTTAGCATGCCTGCCTCTCTGTACTTACGTCATAGTTGCCTTTTCCTTTATTCCCATCTACTTTGGAAGCCTCAGCTGATGGCTCCCGGAGGAATGGATTCACTTTGGGAATTTTTCTTTTTGAAGTAGGGACCTTTTGGTTTGGTTTGGTTTGGTTTGGTTTGGTTTTCTTCAGCCCTGGAGTGAAGGCAGGGAAGCAGATAATCTATTCTGGGTCTGGTCTGTCTGGGCTTGTTCTAGGCCTGTGTGACAGTTGGAACTGATTTCAGCTGACTTTTTTTCTATGGGATAGCTGGGCCATCTTCAGACAGTCCCCAGCATCTCTGTCTCACACGGCAGCTGTGCCCTTGAGGGAGCTAGCTTGATGTTTGGAAGGCCATCCTCACAAGAGAAGCTTAGGGCTGGCCCTTGAACCTTTCCCAGTTTAGAGACCCTCAGTGGAAGGGCAAGCGCAGATGCTAACACAAAGCTTTTCTGTGGAGTGGTCCTGTTTTCCTTCCTCCTTTGGTGTAGAAGCTCACTGACTGGACTGTTGGCCGCCTGAGTGACCCAGTTGTTCCTTTCAGGGAAAGTATCAGCCCTTGGATCAGGTCGTCGTGGATGGCATGTTTCCAGATTGCGTCTTATTACTGAGATTTCCTGAGCTGGAGAAGTCACTTCGGCATGTGACAGAAGAGAAAGGTACGGTGCACAAGCCTTCGGCAGCAGGCTGTGGCCATGTGACTCTGTGAGGTTTTCAGCAGGGAGATCTGAGGGACAGAGATTATTCTGCAGAAGCTGAGGTGCCACACAGTCATGGAGGGAGCCTTCCTGTAATGAACAGTGGTCTGTAAATTTGACATACTAGAAAGTTGAAAACAAAAATTTTTGACATTGGAGAGGGAAAAGATGCCTGAAGACCTCTCGTGCCTTGTCTTCTGAAAGAAAGCCCTCCAACAGTACACCAGAGTGGATCCACCCTGCTGGCCTCACTCCTGCAAGGGTGTATGCTATCCATTGGGGCATGGTTCCCATAAAGACCTGTAGGAAATGTCCAGTTCTGCATTTTCACCTGACTATGAGAACTTGTCAGACGTAAGTGCATGACATTCACTTTATATTTTCTAAATCTTTACAGTAATTCTTGCCACTGTTATAACCTGAGGTTCAAAGAACGAATGTGACCAACATTACAAAGAATGTAGAGATGGGATTTGAGCGCATCTGATAATGAATGGTTCTTACCTTCCTTCCTATAGCTATATAATATTTCATGATTCTAACCCAGGAGGCAGGGGAAGGAATTCTGCAAGCTTCTTGGTTGTGGCAAACCTTGAGAAAGTAGAAATGAAAATGTGCCCTAGATGATTTGTTATATGAGGGAGCCAGAGGGAGTGAGGGTGGCTTCGGGAGCAGATACTTCTCTCCAAGGTTTTTAGCCATTTTATGGCTTCCAGGTCATCCTAAGTGATTGATAAATATGCCTGCTTATTTAAGTTTGGATTCCTCTATTAAAAATTAGTGTTTGGTTCTATTCTTCAATATTTATTTACTGAGATTCCCCGTCTCTATGAGTATCAGTAGGTTACAGTGTATGTGGTGCTAAAGATCAGGTTGAGTCCAGTAGGTCCATGAGAACCTTCTACACTGCTTTCTCCCTGATGAGAAATCACGGCTATGGTCCCTTTACACGTCCTCTGTGCCCTGACTGCATTACCAAGGGGGAAATGCTCTGATCTAGTTCCTGACTCAGGGTCTCAGCATGTTTCTGGGCAGAGAGGCTGGAGAAGTGGAGAAGACACAGGAAAGGAATAATAGCAGGTCATGAACTTCGGCTCCACTGAGACTCTTTGTCGTAGTACAAGCCAGAGCTGCTGTGTGCTGGGCATGCAATTAACAGGCAGGTACAGGGGTTCTGCAAGCTTCTTGGTTATGGAAAACCTTGAGAAGGTGGAAATGAAAATGTGCCCTAGGTGATTTGTTCAATAAGTCATTGGGGAAGATTCAGGTTTGCACACTGATTACCCAATTACTGAACATGTTATTTAATCATAAAATTACTTTTTAAAAAAATCTTTATTTTGTAAACTCAGTCTTTCCAGATGCTCGAGACCTGTTTTAGAAGCACCAGGTGCCTAAAGGGAATAAACCCTTTTACCATATACATATATTGTCTAACTCACCAATTCATAAGTGTTAAGTTTAGGATGTACATGCATGAGGGATTTGTTGTTGTTGTTGTGTTTTAGATTTTTTTGAAATTTTGTACAGGAGTACTGTGTTTACATTATCTCCACCCCACCCTCTGCACCCCCAACTCCTTCTGTGTCCCTCCCTCCCTCTCAGGTTTATGTCATCTTAGTTATTATTACATATATATATATATACATACATACAAACACACAAATATATACACATACATACATACACATACTGAAGTTTCTGTCCCACCTGGTCCCACAACCATTCAGTCCCAAATAACACACAGAGGCTTATATTAATTACATAAACTGTTTAGCCTATTAGTTCAGACATTATTATTATTATTATTATCATTATTATTTTGGTTATTCAAGACAGGGTTTACTCTGTAGCTTTGAAGCATGTCCTGGAACTAGCTCTTGTAGACCAGGCTGGCCTCAAATTTACAGCGATCCACCTGCCTCTGCCTCCCGAGTGCTAGGATTAAAGGCGTGTGCCACTACTGCCTAGGTAGCCCAGACTTATTATTGACTAGCTCTTACAACTTAACCCATAATCTTATCATTGTTTAGGCATGTGGCTTGGTACCTTTTATCAGTGAGGCATTCTCATTTTGCTTCCTCTGTATCTGGCTGGTGACTGAGTCTCTTCCTTTCCTCTTCCCAGAATTCTCCTAGTCTGGTTGCCCCACCTATACTTCCTGTCTGGCTACTGGCTAATCAGTGTTTTATTAAACTATTGCGAGTGACAAATCTTTATAGTGTACAAGAACATTAGCCCACAGCGTGCGTGCGTGTGTGTGTGCGTGTGTATATACACACGTGTATACATAAATGCATATAACTTGTTGGGGCGTTTGGTGGGTCTCATGTATATGTGTTGAGGACTAGTGCCTTGGGATTGGAGTAGGACTGATTCTCTCTCTTTGAACAGATGCTAACTGCCTGCAGCTCTATCTTTATGGGTCTTTGTGTGATTTCCCTATCCACGCTGGGATGTCAACTGGTGGTGTCAGTTTTCAGGTCATGTTTAATTATGTTATACTAAGATTTCATGGGTGTAGTCATACATAGAAGATATTTTGCAGTTTCAGTCCTCCCAGCCCTCTTCCAGGATGTCCCCTGAACCTTTGGTACAGGGTTATATTGTAGATGTTTCCATTGAGGATGGCAACACCATAGTCATTCTCTGCATTTTCATGAGTTGTGGCTTTCTATGATAGTCTCGTGTTTTCAGTAAAACAAGTTTCTTTGATGAGGGGTAGGTACTACACTTGGCACATTAAATTGGAGCACAGGATCCATGCATGGATCTTTCACAATTATGGGTAGTCTGTGTCCTATGTAAACATTTTAAATGAACTTGCTCTTCAAATTTTATGAACTTCAAAATTAGTTCTGGTTTATCCGTTTTTATTATTATATTATTATATAACATTCTAGAATACAGTGAGCATCTTGTTCTGGGAATATTTAACTTCAAACTCTGATGTAAAAGCTTCATGGACAGAAAGCCTTGCTGGCTTCATGGTAAATTATATTTTGCTTTAAGGAATAAATGATACTCATAGCAAGACTATTTATGTAGACATTTTCAGTAAATAGATGAGAAAGGAAACTTATGAGACTACAATTTTATGAGATCAAAAATGGCCCCCATACCAAAATCTCAATGGCCATTGACCCCAATACGAAAAGTTGTTATAAAAATAAAATTAAACATCTTTGGCCTTCACAGACAGAAAAGTCTAATAAAATATTTTTTAAAAAAATAAATTCAGACATACAAAGTCTGTAAGCTTTAGAAAGTTAGAATAATTCACAAGTTTGTGCATTATAAGAGAAAAACTGTGATCATGTCAGTAAATACAGAAAACAATTGACAAAGTTCAGTCATGAAGTAGATTTAAAGTGACCTGTCTCACTCTGACAAAGATGTCTGCGACACACTCCTTGCATAAACATTATAAGAGAGTGGACACACCTTCTCCTTTATGCCAGCTCCGACAAGACTGTCTCTATTTTCATCTTGACAGAAGTCTTAGAAGGTTCTATAATATGAGGAAGAAAGAAAGGGCAGGCAATTGAAAATCTCTGTAAAATTGTCTGTCTTCATAGACAGTAAAAACCCAGAGGCACCTACAAGAAAGTACGACTTGGAGTCAGCACAGTGTTGAGCTGCAAAGCCACTTCCAGAGAGCAGCTTTGTGTATGCAGTCATGTGCTGTGAAAGTTCAGTGTGGGAAGGGTGTCTATCAAATTGCCCTATGAAAATAATGGACATTGTTAGAAAAAGTAACTCCAAGCAGTTTGTTGAATTAAATGCAAAACTAAAAATGATTGAACTTTTAGAAGAAAAAGGGCAAAATCTCTATGATCTTGAGGAACTCCAGTATTTCTCAGGCACAGAACCACCTGTATAAAACTGTGTATCTTATATTTCATCTAGTAAATAGTCTTGGTTTTTTAAAGACACAGTGTGACCACTTGACAGCTTTATGCAACTCAGGAGTTCTATGCCTAGTTCTTTTTCTAGGCATATGTGTGTCAGTGCAAAAATTTGAGTGAGGATGTAGCCTCTCTTTTGTTTTATTTTAAATAGCAACCGTCCTCAAATGGCCCAAAAGTGGAACAAATGGCTGGCTGAGATGGGTCAGAAATGTAGTCTCTAACCAGGACCACACCACAGACAGCAGCATGGAGACGGCTGTCAGAAACTGTCGAACACACTCCGCACTACCCATTTCTATGAAGATCTAGAACAGCAGCTCTCAAAACTGTGGGTCACAGCCCCTTTGGGGGTTGCATGTCAGGTGTCCTGCACATCAGACGTTTACATTAGGATTCATAGCAGTAGCAGAATCACAGTTCGGAGGTAGCAGTGAAAGAATCTTATAGTTGGGGGTCATCACAACATGAGGGGCGGTATTACAGGGTCGCAGCGTCAGGAAGGTTGAGAACCACTGCTCTGAAATAAAGCAGAAAGGAATCTCCTGGTGCTCAGTGGCCACCTGAGCACTGCAGATGTGCTGTGAGAACTCTAGAGCTGTAGGTGTGCAGGGGAACTTTAGTGGGCGGGGCACGTTTTAGTTTGCCCCATACAGTTGTGATAAGATGCCCTGAGAGAAGTAGCTGGGTGGAGACAGGGTTGATTTTGGTTCACAGTTCCCGTCCAGAGCAGCCAGAGTGGCAAGAGGACCGTGGTACATCCACGGTTAAGAGCAGAGCAGCACATTCAATGCCTGTGTGCATGCTGCTCCTCGGCTAGCCTTGTCTGCTCTTACACAACTCAGCAACAGTGCCACCCACAGTGGGCAGGCCTTCCCACCCTAATCATTGTGGTTGATCTAGAGAATCTCCTATTATTGAGATTCCCTTCTTAGCTGGTTGTGTTGGCTCATGCCTTTAATCCCAGCACTCGAGAGTCCAAGACAGGAAGAGTTCTGTGAGTTGAGGCCAGCCTGGTCTACACAGAGAAACCCTGTCTCAGGAAGGAGAAATAAGACTGCTAAAATATCATCATCATCTGAGATTTCTTCTGGCCATCAAGGAAGAATTATATGTAAAGAGCTTGTTAGTTCCTGCTGTTAGTGTTTACAGATGTCTTTGCCACCTTTTCTTCCATATTTTTATGTGGCAGACACTGTATTGTAATTTGTGTGTGTTACTTCCTGTTGTGCTTGCACATCTCCTGAGTTATTCCCTCCTTTGTATTGGAGGAAGCAGGTTCAGAGAGTAATGTCACATCCCAGGGTGATTGCATGGCAGCGGATCTGTAAACCCAGACAGACAGCTCAGTCTGACTCCACCTGAGATGGGTAGAAGAGCCTACCTCAAGGTGCTTAGAAAGTGGAGGCATTCTTCCGGGAAATTTGGAGGTCAGGACTAAAGAAGCAAGCAGCAGAGATGAATCGTTCAGGAGAGACTTGAACACTTTTTCAATCCTCACTCTTAGGTAGTAAGTGAATTTCTAATGAGTGACTAAACAGTGTCTCTTCATTGAGTGGCTGGAGACTCCGTGTCCGACTTGTGTGTCGGGCAAGGAGGGCCTCCAGCGGAGTGCATTCCAGTCTAATAGCCGTGTACTGCAGTGGGCCACGTGCCCAGGCTGTCCTGGTCCTAAAGAACAAGAGTTCTTAGACACATGACAGAATGTCCTTCTTATGCTTCCAGTACCATCCTCAGAGGTGACACTGTAGGGCGACCCCTCCCTATCCTGCTGTGCCTGGCCTTGAATGTTATCAGCCACAGACTGCACAGGGGAGGAGATTTCAGACTACCCCTAGAGAAGAAGCAGTTTCCATTCTTGAGGCCCAGAGGGAGGGGAGGTCTCATTCTGTGTGACCTCTGTGGAGTCTCTACTGGCCACAGGCTTATCAGTGCTCATAAAGATGACTCCTGTGGGCTGTAGAGAAGGCCTGGCAGGAGGGAGAAGACAGCTGATAATGAAGGTGGTGCATGGGAGCTCCTGGTTTAATGACTCAGTGTAAAGCCAGCTTTAATTTACAAGAGGTGGAACTGAGGTCACCATGAATCTAAGTCCTTCTGAACTAGCTGTGATTATATTGGTAATACGTCAAGAGACAGACATATCTGTGCCTTTAGGCTTCACTAATCCCACCAGGAAGTAGACACCAAGATGTTTCTTCCCTGAATATATGCAGTGAATTTCCCAGCTGCCTGCCTTACTTTGATTCCAACTCCAAACCTTGGAATTTCCATTTTTATTGAAAAAGGACATGTTTTATTGAAAACATTGGTGTAAATGAATTGTTCAGAAAAAAAATAAGATTATTTAGCTTGTTAGTTGACTGTGTATTAAAAAACGTTTTCTTCTGAATTGTTTGTATAAATCGAGAGATTCTTAATTGTCTGCTCTCTTAGTAGTGGTTGACATCTGAGGGCCCAGCTCTGCTTGGATTTTATATTATTATTATTATTATTACTATTATTATTATTATTATTATTTTACTATCTTGCTACCTCGAGTATGTTCTCAGGTTTCTAGTTTCAGGTTTTGAAATGCTTGAAGTCACTGATTTATGTAGTTTGTGTTATAAGTCTATGGCTGCTGTTAGTTTAATTCATTATACTGAAGTTCTTACTTTTCTCTTTTAATTCAACGCAGAAGTAAACAGCAAGAAGTACTACAAGTATAGCTCCGAGAAGACCTTGAAGTGGCTGGTGAAAAAGGTGTGTGGCCTTGCAGACTAGACATAAGGCCAGACCCGTGACCATCCTGAATAGCCAGGAAAATGCCTGTAGAGATCCCAGGTTAAACAGAACCTAGTTTTCTTTTGATTGCATGGCCCTGCCCCTGAATGCCAGGAGCTCTTGTGGTTGGATGTTGCTCAGATAGCTGGGGAGGGGCAGGTTAATTCTAAAGTCTTTCCTCTCCATTCTCACAGCGCCTCCCACGACAGGGCTCAGAAAGCCCATGTGTTAAGATCATTCAGTACTGTGGCTCCACCTCTTGTTAACTCATTTTCCGACAGCTGGTGTCTTAGTCACTGTTCTGTTGCTGTGAAGAAACATGAAGGCAACTCTTCTTATAGAAGAATTTTTGAATTGGAGTCTTGCTTGCAGTTTCAGAAATTTAGTTCATTATCATCATAGCAAGGAGCATGACACTGGAGCAGTAGCTGAGAGATTCATACTGATCCATAAGCAGAGAAGCAAAGAGGGCCTGGCATGGGCTTTTGAAACGTCACTTCCTCCAACAAGGCCACGCCTACTCCAACAAGGCCCTACCTCCTAATGCTTTCAGAGAGTTCTACTCCTTGGTGACTAAGCATTCAAAATATGAGCGTATGGCAGTCATTCTTATTCAAACCACCAGAGCTGGCAAAGATAGTTCTAGGTGCTTAAATATTTCCTGGATATCTGGTGGACCAAAAGCCATCTGGGGAGTCATGGCATTGCAAAGTTATCTTGAAAGTACATTCCTGTGTTTACCTCCTAGGTCAACCAAACTGTGGTGGCATTGAAAGCCAATGACATCAGTGTTGGAGCCCGGGTACAGTCATCTGCGTATTTCTCTGGTGGTCAGATTTCCAGGGACAAGGAAGGTAAGCAAAGGGTTGCCGCAGAACTAACTGCTGTCTGCCCTATGTAGACAGCTGTTCATCTGAGCTCAGACACTGCCGGCTTCCAGCCTTAGGTGGTGCCGGTCACTAACTGTGGCTTGAATCATTTGTTTGGTGAACAGTATTGTATACTAATGGTGATAGTGACTGTGAACACTCTTGCTACACTTTATGAAGTGTTTGTAATATGACAGGTGTACCAGACATGTCATGAGAAGCAAGCCTGTGCCAAATTCCTACCTAGCAAATAATGAAGCCAGAGGACTGCTGATGGAGGCTCCCAGCTAGACTACATGGCCTTTGGCCTGACCTTCATCCTGCCTCAGGGCCCCATGGGGAGGTCACTCTTTAGATCCCAGTATTTCACATCTTCTCAGAGAGTTCTCGGTGTTCTAGCAGTGAAAATTAATTCTCTGCAAAAAATGTTTTGGTTTACATTTCTGTCTTATTATTCCTTTCCTTCCTACCTTCTATCCTTTCTGAGAACTGACCCTATAGTCTCAAGCATGCTAGGCAGACTCTGCCTCTACATGACATCCTCAGCCTGCTGGAGTGTGGTTGGCACTGAACACCGGAAATTTAAAAATTTAATGATTCTACGTTCTGTTGATTCAGTTTTTCCTGTTCTGTCACCATGTTTGTGAGCATACTCATTCCTGTTCAGTAATTGGCTTCTTTATTGAAGCAGGCTTGCAAAAATAAAATGGCCATTAAAAAAGAGATTCTAACAATTCTTGTTAGGTCTGGTTTGTGATTTTATTTGTATTTGGGTCTTAACTAAGAAAGCTGGCCTGAGTTTTTGGTTTGTAAAGGGGTATTTAGGGCCATCCACTGTGCAGTCGGGCCTGTGGCAGCATCCCATTTTACATCTCATCCATTGTACTTTTCCTTCCTGATGGGTAGGCCTTAGTATCCCTGTTTTACCAATGCAGAAACTGAAAGTAGAGTTTAAGTGAAATTCCAAACCCATGTAGAACAAGAATTTGAACTTGGATCAATTTGACTCAAACCATTGCAATTATTACTAATTATTTTCTTTCATTCCGTTTTCTGTTTCAGAGGACTATGTTCGTTATGCCCATGGTCTGATCTCTGAGTACATCCCTAAAGAATTAAGTGATGACTTATCTAAGTCCTTGAAGTAAGTGTTCTTCATTTCCAGTCTGACCCCAAGCTCCTTCGTGCTCCTTCTGGCAAGGGGGTGGTTCAGTGGCATGGAGTGTCAGGCTATGATGAGATGTTAGCCTTGGGCTGTGCCGTGCCACACTGTGTAACAGGAAGTGATTCTTAATGGACATTCAGCAGAAGGATTTGATTTGGTAGAAACTGACTGTAGTAAAAATAAATTTAGAGTTAAAATTATAGCTCTGTGCAGTTTTAGAGGATAATATGTGTTAAATTTTTATCCCTTATGGCAGTTAATTTGGTTCTTTGTGGTCATTTTAAGAGAGAGATGGGAAGTAAAAAGAGACAGTAATAGTTTTTAAAATTACAAGTTCTATAGTGTGCCCCATGCACAATGAATTATAAGATCTCCACCACCAAGTGCCTTCCTGGTGCTGAGTGCTGAGATCACTGCAGACTGGAACCCTGGAGGGCTGCAAGAGTGGTTGGTCTTTAGGATGACCTTATTTGTAGCCTTCCCTTATAAAGATCTTTAATGTGTCTTAAAGGCGTTTTCTTGTTAATTTTAAAGATATTAGTAGCTGGTATTAAAGTTTTATATGCCTGATGACATAATAGCTTTTTTTGATCCTGTTTAAATCCTTTTTCTTCTTTATTGTATAATAGGAGATAATATAGTTGCTGCTTCCAACAAATTTTATAGATCCTGCTGTTCTAGTTTGCTTTCTGTTACTGAGATATAGCACTAACCAAGGACAACCTGGGGAAGGGAAGGATTATTTTGACCTACGAGTTACAGTCCATCTTCAAGGGAAACCTGGGCAGGAGCCTGGAACAGAAACCAGAGTAATAAGAGATACTGCGTATTAACTTGCTTTTGTAGCTTTCTTATACAGTGTGGGCCCACTTCCTGGGGATGGTGTGCACACAGTGGGCAGGGTCCTCCTTCATCCATCAAGACAGTACCTCACAGACGTACCCACAGGCCCATCAGCTTCTTCAGGGCGATTCTTCAGTTGAGGTTCCCTCTTCCTGAGTAATTCTAGGTTGTGTCAAGTTGACAGGAAAAGCTGCTCATCACACCAACTTCAGAAGCTGTAGTGGAAGCTGGTTTCCTGACCAGTTACCAACTGTCTCTCTGCTTGATGTTCTCTGGATTCCCAAGCTGCTCGTCTTCAGAGAGGCCTTTGTTTCCTTTCCATTAATTGTGCTGACTTTTTTTTCTGTTACACTGAATTTTGGCTTAAATATTTTGAGTGAAAGATAATGCAAAGTAAACTACTCTTTGATAGAGAGACAACAGTGTTCATGTGACTTTTCCCAACAGTTACAGTACTTTTTACTTTTAAATTAATGTCATTTATTTAAATAAATTGTCACTTATGAAGAAAAATATGCTCCTCAGCCAAAATGCTGTCATGGAGCTGAAAGGTAAGCCACTGACTTCAACAAAACAGGTTCTAACTGTGTCTTTAGCATAAACATGGCTATGTTTATGTCAGGACATAAGAGGTAAGATGTCATTCATTTGGTGAGGCTGCCTTCCTCACTGAGGTGAGCAGGATGATATGTAAAGGTCAGGTCTCTGCAGATAAGGCTCACTACAGCTTCTCTGTTGTCTATGAGACATACCATGACCATGATTCTCACTGTTACCTTCCTTAGGCTTCCAGAACCTCCAGCTTCAGTTCCAAACCCTCCATCAAAGGTAAGAAACTGTGACCAAGACACCTTTAGGGACTTAGAAAACTACTGTGCTTTTAACCGTCACTTCAGCCTTTTCTATTCTATTTTAAAGGGGGAAAAACTGTCTTGAATGCTTGCGTGACATAGTATGACTTGAGCTTTGTAGTATATGACTGTTTTAGTTTGTAGATTTTTCCTGAATGGTGTAAACCTTGTTGATTTTAGCAAAGATGCTTCTATTAACATGCACTGGTGAGGGCTAGAGAACTGACTCAACAGGTCCGAGTACTCACTCTGTGATATGCTGAGATTTAAGTGCAATGTGACTTCACAGACTCTATCTTAAAAGATGGGACTTCTTTTAAGACAACTGGTGACCTAGGATTGACCTCAGTTCCAGGAATGTGTTGTGATAGAGAATTTAAAACAGACAGCTAGTTAAGGTGTGAGACCAGAAAAGTGAACAAGGTCCAGATGTCTCTGAAGACATCCTGCCCTCACAGGTACCTTGTCAGTCATCTATGGTTCTCTGTTAGGACTTCACGCCGCAAAACTGACCAATGGTTTCAGAAATCCTCTTACTCTGTACCCTCTTTACCCAATCCCAAGACAACAAGACGTGTACCTCTTACTTGCTGCACTTCTCCCTTTAAAAGCTTGTCTTTTTCTGAACTCAGGCTGCATTCTCTTCTCACCCGCTGTGTTGGACTGTGGTCCTAGCTTAAGCTTGCTAAACAAAGATCCTCTTGAATTTACATTGCAATACCAAAATCGGCTTTGTGGTTTCGTTAGAAATTTTGAGACACATGCATAACTTTTGGGTTCCATGATTCCACGGGAACCTCATGTCTGGTAGGCCGGAGAGCCCTATGCTATCTGGACAGTATTTGGGAGCCCTGCCATGGGTGGGTCATGCCTGCAGCAGAGTGACAAACCATCTTTCTGTTTCTTTCTGTGTCTTTGGTCTCTTTGGGGCAAGTTCTTTCTCTGTGCCCTTGGTTTTCTGTAGTGTTTAAGTTTGTCTGTATTTGTGCATTTGACTGAGGCGAACACAATGGGAGAGACAACTTCTCTTCTGGATCTACCTCTCACCCACTACTTGGATGTAAATGCATGTGCTCATAGTTTCAGTTCTGATTAAGAAGCCTAAACTTTTTAATGGTCAGAATGGCCAACTCTTTAACACTGGATAGCCACAGGAGGGAATCTTTCAACCTGATCTTCATAGAAGCAATAGAAGGCATTGTCTTCAGACCCCAGGGAGGATGCCCAGATCACGTCCCTTACATTGTGATCTGGTGTGACTTGGTACAAAACCCTCCTTCCTGGGTTAAATCTTTCTTACCTCGACAGGTTAAGTTTCTGACCGCTGCAGAGTGTTCACCACCTGATGCATCTCAGCCCCGCCAGACCACACTCGCCAAGTTCCCATCCTCACCCACACTGGGAGTCCGAGCTGTGTCCCAGCCTTGCTGGCTGACTCGCAGCACCCTTGTCTCAGAGGAGCAGTCTGGGAGCTGGAGGCCAGGAGAACGGAAGCTGCCTGCTAACACTCCTTCTGCTCCTAAGCCAGAAATCCTCCAAAGCGGCAACACAGAGGAAGAAATCTTTCCCCCTCCATCCTATATTCTTTCCCCTGGTGGTGCAACAGCCCCACCTGCCCAACCACTCACTCAGCCTGCCCCTCTTCTGCTGGTCCCAGTGAGAGAGGGACCAGCTCATGGGACTCGCAGCCAGAGGGGAGATTACCCTGAGTCTAGCACAGAGATCCTTCGAGCAGCAGGGGCCCCAGATAAGGATAGGAATCAACCAAATCGTGACTGGCCCTTCACCATTAGTGACTTCTATCGTTGGAAAATCCTAGTAAAGTGATTGGTCTCCTTGAAAGTTTATTTATAAATCATCAACCCACTTGGGATGACTGCCAGCAGCTATTAAAAATTTTTCTGACTGCAGAAGAGAGGGACCTGGTACAGATCGAGGCCCGGAAATTGGTTCCCGGCCCCACAGGAGTGCCCACAAAACTTGAGCCACTTATAGATGCAGCCTTTCCCCTAAATCGTCCTGAGTGGGATTATAATACATATGAAGGTAAGAGGAACCTCTTGGTCTACCGTCAGGTTCTATTGGCTGGTCTCAGAGCAGCCACCCACGCTAATAGGAGTAAAATCTGGGCTGTAACACAGAGAGCAGATGAAAGACCAGCAGCATTCATGGAGCGCCTCGAGGAGACCATTAGGAGGTATACGCTCTACGATCCCCAGTCCCAGGACATTGAAGTTGTTTCTATAATGATGATGACTTTTATTTTCCAGTCAGCTCCAGACATTAGAGAAAAATTGCTAAGCCTAGACTGCTGTAGAGAAATGAGTGTCTGAGACTTAGTGCTAGTGGCAGAAAAGGTCTATGATAATAGGGTTAGTGTGAAGGAAAGACAAAAAGAGCAGCACAAGATCCAACAGCCTGCTAGAGTATGCACTGCCACAGAGGAGTTGGAGGGGCGTGGGAGCCTCTCACGACACCTGACTGCTGGAGAGGAAGACAGAAAACCAAAATGTAATAAAGGAAGGCCCCGTGTGGGAAAGAATCAGTGTGCATACTGTAAAGAGGAAGGGCACTGGGTTAAAGCATGCCCTCGAAAGGCAGCAAGGAGAAATACCAAAGTTTGGAAACAGCGAGACCTGGACAGTGATTAGAGGAGATAGGGTTTGGGTCCCCCTCCCCGAGCCCAGGGTAACCCTAAGAGTGGAGGGGAAACCAGTTGACTTTATGGTGGACAGAAGAGCCCAGAACTCAGTGTTACTGAGGACTGATGGACCCATAACAGACAAAAAGACTTGGATCCAGGATGCTACTGGTGCCAGACTTTATTCATGAACTACTCAAAGAATGGTAGACTTGGAACCTGGTGATCCCAGAGTGCCTGTACCCCTTATAGGCCCGTGATTAACTGACCAAAATGAAAGCCTAGATACATTTCTCTGATAAAGGAGCTAAATTGCCTAATGAAGATGGAAAAGCCATTTGCATATTGGTGACAAGTAGTCAGGCAGAAGAGTAGAGGCTACAGCTGGTAGCCATGGAGCCTTACCCCCAACTAGAGAAATGGCTTCAGAAGTTCCATCCTCATGGGCCGAGACAGGGGATATGGGCTGGCTAAGCATTGCTTCCCTGTATATGTAGAAACCAAACCAGGAGCAAACCCAGTCAAGGTCTGCCAGTACTCTATGCCTCTTGAGGCCAATAAGGGCATCACACCCCACATCAAGAGGTTGCTGGACTTGGGGGTCCTCAGGCCTGTGCAGTCAGCCTGGAAAACACTCTGCTGCCTGTCAAGAAGTCTCACACTAATGATTATAGAATGATCCAGGACTTGTGGGAGGTCAACAAGAGGGTAATTGACATACACCCCACAGTGCCTAACCCATACAACTTACTCATTGCTCCCAGACCAGCAATAGTATACTGGTCTGGACCTAAAAGATACCCCCAAAAGCCAACAGTACTTTGCCTTTGAATGACATGACCCAGAGATTGAGATCATTGGCCAGCTGACATGGACGAGGCTACAACGGGGATTCAAAAGAATCCTCGACGAAGCTCTAAAGGAGGACCTGTGTGAGCACCGGGAACAGAATGCAGATACCAGTTTGTTGCAGTATGTTGGTGACCTACTATTGCAGCCATAGATCAAGAGACCTGCCTAATTGGGACTGAACGACTATTACAAACTCTGGGAGACCTAGGTACCATGCCTTGGCCAGGAAAGCCCAAATCTGCGTGCCGCAGGTAATGTTCCTGTGGTACATCTTAAAGGAAGAACAACAATGGCTTTCAGACACACAGAAAGAGACAGTACTTAAGATCCCTATGCCTACTACTGCCAGGCAAGTGAGAGAGTTCTTTCGCTCTGCAAATTTCTATTACCCATGGATCCCAGACTTTGCAGAACTGGCTAAACCCTTTATGAAGCCACCAAGGAGGGCTGGGATTTTACTTGGACTAAGGACCACCAATTGGCCTTTGACAAACTCAAACAAAGACTACTCTTGGCATCAGCACTGGGTCTGTCAGATGTGACCAGACCATTTCATCTGTATGTAGATGAAAGCAGAGGAATAGCCAAGGGAGTCCTTACCCAAACATTGGGCTTCTGGCGACAGCCTGTAGCCTACCTGTCCAAGAAGTTGGACCCTGTGGCAGCTGGATGGCCACCCTGCCTCCATATAATAGCAACTGTGGTCCAGCTAGTCAAGGACACTTGACAAACTGATCTTGGGACAAAACCTCACCATAACCACCCCCGCCACCCAGTCGATGGCTGGGCAGTGACAGAATGACTCATTATCAAACTCTTGCTAAACCCCGCCAGAATAACTTGCCGGGTGCCAGGTACCCTCAGCTCTGGATTCCGAGCTGGAAGCACCACTGCACTACCGTTCAGGATCCTGGCCCAAGCACACAGCCTTAGGACAGACCTACAGGACACCTAATGTACAAGACTGCATGCAGCAGCTTCATGCAGGACGGCCGAAGGTATGCGAGGACAGTGGCCACCACTACAGAGTAGGCAATATGAGCAGAGTCAATGCCAACTAGCAGAACTGATTGCCTTGAGGAAGTGTGAAAGGTTAACATCTAAACCGACATCCGGTACACTTTGATCATGCCGCATGTGCATGGGGCAGTATGCAAAAGGGGGGGGGTTGTTAACCAAAGAGGGAAAACATCAAAAATAAAGATGAAATTCTGACCCTTCTAAAAAGGTTGCCCAAGAAACTGGCCATCATCCATTGCCTGGGGCACCACAGAGGAGATAGACCCATCCCCAGCAGAAACAACCTGGCAGACAAAAGCACCCGGCAGATGGTACTCCATACTAATGTAGTCTTTGCACATGTACTGGTAGATCCAGGCCCGAGTATCCTGGATACACTAAGGAAGATCTAGCCTGAATCAAGACCCCTATGATGCAGTGTCTGGATGGATAGTAGAGGGCAGCAGACAGTAAAGTCATCCTCCCTGAACACCTGGGAAAGAAGCTACTCAACAGGATTCATCGATCTTCTCATATGGGAACCCAGAGAATGCAGGACTTGGTTAGACAATCAAAAAATCAAAGACATACAACAAAAAATTACTGACATCGCTACTAGCTATAAAGCCTGTTAACTCACCAACACTGTAGCCAACCCTAAAAATCCTGGACTTGACTGAGATAAGAAGCCTGGGGCCTACTGGGAAGTAGAGTTCACTGAGATAAAACCTGGCAAGTATGGTTACAGGCATCTGCTAGTATTCATAGACACTCTTTCCGGATAGATTGAAGTCTTTGCAACCAAATATAAAGCAGCTCAGGTAGTGGCAAAGAAACTACTCGAAGACATCCTGCTCAGGTATGACTTTCCAACCATGATATTGTCAGATATTGGGCCACATTTGGGGTAAATCAGAATTTAGTCACCATCCTGGGGAGCAATTGGAAACTGCATTGTGCACACAGACCCCTGAGCTCAGGACAGGTAAAAAGGATGAACAGAATGCTAAAAGAGACCCTAACTAAATTGACCTTAGAGACTGGCACAGACGGGGTGGTTCTCCTTCCCTTTTCCCTATATAGAGTTAGAAATTACTCCTACTAGAAGGGACTAACCCTGTTTGAGATTATGTTTGGTACATCACTTCCCATTACCCCCAATCTCCAGGCAAACCTGTTAGCAGATTTGGCTGGCCATTAATCCTTGACACTGTATGGGGAATCCAATGGGCCTACAAGGAGGTCTGACCTAAGTTAAGAGTGCTTTATGAATCTGGTGCCCCCTCCCCCACCCCAATCCCACAGGTTCTGGCCAGGAGATTGGGTGTATGTCAAGAGACACCGGACAAAGCCTTTGGAACTCAAGTGGACAGGACCCTATGTAATTCTGCTGACCACACTGACTGCACTCAAGGTCCACAGTATTGCCACTTGGGTCCACTACTTACACGCCAGACCAACAGATCCTTTCACCTTAAAGGAAGACTATCAGGGTAATGGATGGGAAACGTCAAGGGACTCAAGGAATCATCCCCTCAAGCTGTGTGTGATCTGGCAGCGGCAATCATCTGCCTCCTAACTGCAGTGGCGCCACCAGCTCACAAAAGAGTCTGCATGTACCCTGGAGACTAACATGGGTGATCACTTCTAAAAATGGTGATCAGACACATGCAGCCTCAACAGGCCCTGCAAGGCATCTGGTAGCCCGACCTTGAAGTAGACTTAATGTGACTTAGCAGCTGGTACTTGGGATATTCTGGACCAAGACCTGGGGCAGGTCTTCCCTGTATGCCGGGGCCAGGGCAACCCCAAGCCCTGTCCCACCTTGGGAATAAGGGAGTGGGTGAAAAGGAAATAGACTGCGGTCACCCATCTCTTTGGAGACACCCGAGGGACATCCCCATCTGTGTATGTCATGGAGATGAGAGAGACTGTCCTGAGTCCTACAGATGTGGATGGGGGACTGACTTTCTGTATGAACTGGGGATGGGAAACATATGGTAACTATTGGGGACCTAGCTCTTTGGACCTCAGCACGGAGACAGGAAATCACTCTTGACCAGCACTCACCCGGAACTTTTGCAAAGGTTACCCTGGAGTCTACATGTGATTCAGCCCAAATCAGCATTACTCTAGTCTTCGAGCATCCATTGACTTGGACATAGAGGGACTAGAGATCTCGCTCTCCCTTTTACAGGAATCTCTAACCTCCTTAGCTGAAGTAGCTGTGCAGAATAGGAGAGATTTAGACTTCATCTTCCTACAACCGGGAGATTTGTATGCAGCTCTGGGAGAGGAATGCTAGGCCACTTGAGTGTTAAAAAGGAATCCATGGCTAAAGTTAGGGGAGGACTGGCTAGATGGGAAAAGAATTGCAAGGCCAGCCAGCCAAGGATGGTTTGAGTCCTGGTTTAATTCATCACCCTGGTTCACCACCTTAATTTTACCCTACTGGGTCTTCTCCTTATTCTAGTCATGTTACTCACTTTTGGGCCTTGCACCGTAAACAAATTGGTATGGTGTTTTAAAAGAAAAACGGGGGCAGTTCAGCTGGTGATGATGTAGACCCAATATCAGTCCCTCTCCAGGAGCCCAGGAAAGCTACAGAACTTGAGTCCCGTGATTGGAACTCAGGAACCTTTCAGAGGGTGGAATGTGAGACCCTGAGATTTAAGTGCAACGTGACCTCACATACTCCATCTTAAAAGATGGGACTTCTTTTAAGACAACTGGTGATCTAGGATTGACCTCAGTTCCAGAAATGTGCTGTGATAGAGAAATTTAAAACAGACAGCCAATTAAGGTGTGAGACCAGAAAAATGAACAAGGTCCAGATGTCTCTGAAGACATCCTGCCCTCACAGGTACCTTGTCAGTCATCTATGGTTCTCTGTTAGGACTTCACGCTGCAAAACTGACCAATGGTTTCAGAAATCCTCTTATTCTGTACCCTCTTTACCCAATCCCAAGACAACAAGACGTGTACCCCTTACTTGTGACATTTTCCCTTTGTAAAAGCTTGTCTTTTTCTGAACTCAGGCTGCATTCTCTTTTCACCCGCTGCGTCGGTGTGCTGGAGGTTTGTGGTCCGAGTTTAAGCTTGCTAAACAAAGATTCTCTTGCATTTATATCAGAAAACTGACTTTGTGGTTTCTTTTGGGATTCCGAGATACGGCCATAACAGCTCCTTTTGCCCAGAGAACCAGAGTTGGTTCTAAGCACCCATGATAGGTTCCTACAACCACCCATAACTCTGGCTCCAGGGCTCCAGAGTATTTGATGTCCTCTTTAGCCTCAGTGGGCACCTGCACACAACTTTGCATATACACACATACATATAAATAAAAACAGAACAAATCTTTACAGGTAAATAATTTTAAAAATTTTGCCCCCTGAGATAGGGTTGCACTGTGTGGCTCAGACTGGCTTTGAACTTAGTCCTTCTGCTTTAGCCTTCCAAGATTGACATTACAGGTGTCTGCAGCCACACTGGCTGAAATCTTGCATTGACTACATGTAACTGAAAGTCATGTTGCCAAGTTTTAATTATCATTGGCACAAAGGGCACAGCATGGTTTTTGTGACACAAAAACTCCTTTGAAAAAAGGATGACCTGGACTCTTTTCTGAGTTTGAAAGATTACTTCTATATGATTGTCATCTGTTAATAGTGGCCCTTTGCATGTTTGTGTTCATGCATATATAAGGGTGTGTGTGCACACACATGTGCATGTATGTGGATGCACACTACATGTACACACATGCCTGTGAAAGCTAGGGGACAGCTTCAGATACACCATCCACCTTGTTTTCTTACTGTCTTTTACTGGCTTAGAGCTCACCAGTTAGGGCCAGGCTGACCTGCCTGTCTCTGTCCCCCAAGTGCTGGGATTACAAGCATATGCCACGGCATACATCACTTTGTTCTCCTGGTTCTCGTATTAGCAGGCAAGCATTCATCTCCCCCAGCTTTTTTGGAACGCCTTTTCTTCTTCGGGATGGTCCCAAAATTGCCACCCTGATTGCTCCAAAGCTTGTGCTAATTTCCCGGGTCCAGATGAAGAAGCTAGGTGTTAGCTGCTCCTGGTCACAGCTGTAGCCTACCTCACAGTTCTGGCCAAGTCTTAGGTCCCTACGTGTTACTCCAGAATGAGAACAAGGACACACCTTGATTATCTAAAACAGTGGTTTTCAACCTTCCTAATGCTGAAACCCTTTCTTTAATACAGTTCCTCATTTGGTGACCCGAACCATAAGACTATTTTAGTTGCTATTTTATAGCTATAACTTGGCTACTGTTATGAATCATAATGTAAGTGCCTGATATGTAGGCTATATGATATTTGACCTCTGTGACAATGTTAGTCAACCCCCCCCCGCCCCCGCCAAACAGGATCGTGACTCACAGGTTGAGAACAGCTAGTCTAGGGTATCACATCTGTGAAGGATAACCCTGGGCAGAGATCTATAGATGTCTGCTCCGCTCAGGTACTTTCAGTCTAGGTTAACCTCTAGCAGTAGCTACAGAGGACAGAGAGAAAAATAATTGCCCTGCCATAACAGGTTGTAGGCGCTCTCGACAACGTTTGTTGATTTCTCTTCTTCAAAAAAAGATGAAGTGTATTTCTCCTCAAATCTGTGTTCCTTGGTAACTCAGGGATACCCGTGAATTAGTCTAAACTCATGTTTGCAAGTTTTCACATTTTTAAAACAAGATTTATTTATTTTTATTTCGTATGTCAGTATTTAGCCTTCATATGTGCATTGCCTGCAGAGCCCAGAGTTACAGAACGGTGTGAGCTGCCATATGGCTGCTGGGTAGTGAACGAAGATCCTCCCAAGAGCAACCAGTGCTCTTAACTACTGATTCATTTTTCCAGTGTAGACAGAAAGAGCCAAAGCAGCTTCTTTATTAAACAATGGTCCATGAATGAACATATTCACAGCATACAGAGGGGAATCCCACATCCTTCCAGTCTGGTTTTCCCCACTGAGACCTTCTGGAATAAAGTATTTCTTTTCTTTCCTTTGTTGTTGTTGTTGTTATTTTGAGACAGGATCTCGTAGCTGTGACTAGCCTGGAGCTCAGAGAGGCCTACCTGCCTCTTCCTCCCAAGTGCTGGTAACAAAGGAGTGCGCCACCACACCTGATACTTCCTCCTTTCTTTTTAAAATATTTCCATTTTATTTTTTCACTTGTTTATTTTTGAGGCAGCATCTCTATATACAGCTCAGGTTGGCCTAGACCTCGCTCACAGTCCTCCACCTCCATGAATGACTAGGATTATAGCCATGTCCTGTCATACCTGGCTGTCAGCTGCTTTGCCCCACTGGACACTAACTGTTGAATCACTAGCCTTTTATTTTTATATATGTATACATAATTTTTCAGTCTTCAAGAATTTCATATATCTACCTAATGTGTTTTGAGCATACCGAGTAATATATTTTTTTAGTTTCTCCTCCATCCCTGTTTTCTATTTTAATTTTTTAATTTAGGTTTCCAACATTAAGTAATTTATGCTTTTATCATTTTGGATTTAGATCCAAGGTCCGCACTTTTTCTGTAAAAGCCCAACTGTAACTCTAGACCAGTGATTTTTCAATCTTCCTAGTGCTGCAAAACACTTTAATACAGTTTCTCATACTGTGGTGACCCCACCATAAAATTGTTTTCATTCCTACTTAATAACTGTAATTTTGCTGCTGTTATAAATTGTAATGTTAATATGTGTTTACTGATGGCTTTAGGTGACCTCTGTGAAAATGGGGTCATGACCCACAGGTTGAGAACCACTGCTTGAACCAATAAGACTGAAATAGACAGCGACTGTTGACTGATGCAGACTCTGACTGTAGGCTGACGCAGACGATGACTGTAGGCTGACACAGACTCTGTAGGCTGACGCAGACTCCGACTGTAGACTGATGCAGACTCTGATTGTTGACTGACACAGACTCCGACTGTAGGCTGATGCAGACTCTGATTGTTGACTGATGCAGACTCCGACTGTAGGCTGATGCAGACTCTGATTGTAGACTGATGCAGGTGGTGGCTATAGACTGACGCAGAAAGTGACTGTAAGCAGATGGTGACTGTAAGCAGATGGTGACTGTAGACTGATGCAGACTCTGGATGTAGGCTGATGCAGACTCTGGCTGTAGACTGATACAGTAAGTGACTGTAGACTGACGCAGAGACTGTAGGGTGACGCAGGCATTGGCTGTAGACTGACGCAGATGGTGACTGTAGGGTGATGCAGGCACTGTATGCAGACCGAAACAGACAGTGACTCTGGGTTTCCTAAGCAGTCTATGAGCTCTAAGACGTCTCAGTTCTGGTACTTAGTGAGAACACAGCTGCTACAGCGCACAGTGCATCAGTGTTTCAAGAAAACTCTCACCGCGGTTGATGCAATAGCAAGAGGAATTTTTATTTTGCTGCCGTGGCAGAGGTTCCCTCAGCCTCAAGAGGAGAAGGACCCCTGCTTTGTCTATTACAGGCTATTTTTTTTTGATTGTGTAACCCTACCTTACAGCCACTTTTATTTAAATCATTAACTTGTTTGTCATCCTAATTTTTCTGTTTTTGTTTTTCGAGACAGGGCTTCTCTGGAGCTTTGGAGCCTGTCCTAGAACTAGCTCTTGTAGACCAGGCAGGTCTCGAACTCACAGAGATTAATCTGCCTCTGTCTCCCGGGTGCTGGAATTAAAGGTGTGCACCACCACCACTGTTATCCTAAGTTTTAAGACATTTCCAATTAGAATTGTAGCAGCATATTCAATATAGTGTTTAAATATGCCTATAAGAATATTACAGGCTATTTTAAAGGAGAAAACCACAGAATCGAGGGGGGTAGTACAGAATCAAAAGGGAGAGTCCAGAAATCATTTGTCAACTATTTTGACTAGTTCATTTAATGTCAGCTAACTCAATGCTATTGCGGTTGCTGGATTGGCTGAACAAGGAGGAACACTTGCAGGTCATCTGCAGGTCACCTCACCCCAGTTCCAGGGTCTAGGTCTATTGAGGAAAGACTACAAAGGGGATGGAAAGTATTCAAGCTCCAGCGCATGCGTGGTTGGTTACCAGGGTCCTGGTTCCCAGGAAGGGGGGTGCAGTAATGCTGAGGTGCCCCAAAGTCTTTCACTTACACCAATTCCTACCCCACTCTCTCATGTCTGTTTATTTTGGTTTTGCTTTATGGCCCACTGGGTTCAACCAGAGCTTCCCCTGTGAGCATGGGTGTGGAGCTGTCCTCTGGAACCTGAGAAACTCACCGGTTGCTCTATCACCCGAAGATAATCGCTTCCTTTCTCCTCAGAGGGCACAGGTGCCTCTAGTTTGTCTAGGGGGGACTGGGCCCCACGAGGCATCTCCGTCTGTGACTGAATGTTTCTTGCCCGTGTCTTGTTCATCCCTTTCTAAGTGCAGCGGTTCTGCATCTGTGCACGCCACAGTCACGCCATGCTTGTAACAGTGCTCCTGACCTTCCTCTCTGGGATCTAGCACTTGCATCTTTTGCCCTCTTTTCGGTGGTGTCCTGTGAGCCTTACAGGAATTTGAATGTCCCATTTAAGGCTGAGCACTCAATAAGCCTTTTCTTCTCATCACCCTGACTTAGATTGTTCCAAAGAGAAGTATCCTTGGTCAAGGACAGTACTAACCTTGAGTCCTCTCTGACCTGTTCCTAGCTTCTGCAACCTCTGCTAGGTCTCCAAGCACCTGGACATCCTACCCTGAGTCAATGGGAAATAACTTGTGATAGAGAAGGGGCACAAACACCTTCCTGTCTTCATGTTCAATCTTCATATTGCCAGATGTCAGCCATGCTTTCCTAGCTGAAGGCCTGTCCAGTTCATGACCCCCCCTCTGCAACGTACCTGGATGCCATGGTGGATTCTTTTGTTCATTTTATCTTTTGAGACAGAGTCTCATTCAGTCATTCAAACTGGACTGCAACTCATTTTGTAGCCCAGGTTGACCTTGACCCACATGGCAGTCCACTTGTCTCAGCCTCCTAAGTGCCAGGAATGCAGGCATGCACACCTGGCGTCCATCCGCCCACTTTGTGCTGGTAGGTCATTATTGTATAGTTAGCCGCTCACTTTGTGCTGGTAGGTCATTATTGTATAGTA